GTGTGCCTTGGCAGTCTCCCCCTGGAATGGGACCCCCTCCTCCACCGCCGGCCCCGGGCTTTGGGCCTCCACCACCACCAGGCTTTATGCCCTCCATGGCGGTGCAGGAAGCTGGCCCTGCCAAGGCTATGATCGAGCCCCCCAAGCCAATGAAGCCCCTCTACTGGACACGCATACAGCTGAATGCTAAAAAGTAAGGCCATGCTGTATAACGTGAAGATAGATATGGCTCATTTGCACTAAGGTATTTACTGAACAGTAGAGGAAGCTTGTCCACTTAAGATAAAGATCAGCACGTGCTCTGAAGGCTATAGAGATGCTAACCTTGCGGAAAATGAAAGTGATGCAGTCCAGGCATTGTGGTCAGCAGCGGATTTACTTGAACCAGGTTTTCTTTCCTTAATAAGGCTTGGAAATGTGTAGCTGAATAGAGGTCTTGAAATAGACTTCAATTTAGAAACTTTTAAATGTAATTTGTTAGCTGACATATTTGACAAGTGTATTGAGTTGATTTATATGCTGCAAAAGATGACAAATTAGTACTAAGCTGAAGGCAATCTAGAAATGTCAGAAATAAAAACTGGCATTACACAATAAAAGAGGAACTCACTCCACCTATTCAAACAATATACTGTCATAATGTCCTCTTTTCCCCCCTATCTTTAGGTCCAGTGCACTGGTGTGGGACACAATCGAAGAACCAAGTGTAGACTTTGAAGAATTTGTTGATCTATTCTCCAAAGGTGCTGTTAAGGTGAAGAAAAAGCCAATTTCCGACACAATCAGCAAGTCAAAGGCCAAGCAGGTAAAGTACAGTGTGTTTTATGGTTGTGTGTTCCTTTCTATGTCTATACAGTAAACATCCAGAAGTGTAAACTACATCGTTGCCGACTTGCTTATCTATGAAAGGATGTGTGTGTTTGCATATCCCCCTGGGTCACCAAATATGGCTTCTCTTCAGGGCTTTTCCCATCTTCCCTCTCACTCCTCTGATGCCTCGTTTCTTTCCCATTTGTCCTCACTGTCGCTCTCTGAGTTGCATTGAGTGACAGGAGGAACTACTACAGCCAGACAGTTATTATGTGGTGTGAGCTCTGGCTCCCACCCGACTCCCCCGTGACCATCCAGTGGCACCGAGCCAATGTCTCGCGTGCGGTAAGGAAACTTCACGACGGTGATGACTGTTAAGAGAGAGAGAGTGTGGGGAGAAAAGGAAAAAAGGGGGGGGGGGGGAGAAGCCTGGGAGCTGTATTTCGTGATGTGGTTCCTCCCATTGTGCTTTCTGTATGACTTAGTTTAATGGCCCGACTGTTTGCCTCCCCAATGCCCTTTATGCAACTCCATCAATCCGCAAGTCCAACATTTGATCTACGATGTAAAGCTGCTTTTTGTCAACATTTTATGTAGATATACTCTCTGCCCAAATTATGTGTCTAAATCACAATAATGTCACACCAGGGAGCTAAATGTCCTCCTTGTTATTCAGACCCAAAGCAATAATTGTTGCCAACATGTGGAAAATCTTCTAAGTTTGTGGAAGTGATTAGATGAAGCTTTGCACCAAAACATTAAAAAATGTAATGTTCCAAAAACAATTGTTGAACGCCTAAACATAATTTATCATGAAAATGTGGTTTCTGAAGCCAAATTACATAATTGTTATACTTTCTAAATGTTGTCTTTGCCACATTGTCTATGGTCAAGGGGGGTGGAGAATTTAATGGACACTTGATTGTAGTTTTAAAGTCTACTGGATACATTTGAGCTTCTCTATTTCTTCCACCTTTCATTTTGACTGCTTTAACCCTTAGATGCCTGAGTGACTGGACCCTACACTCTTCCATAAGTGGGTCAAAAAGGACCCGTATTAGAATAATATGTGTTTTTATACCATTTTTGTCATTTTGGTTAAGGAAAATCACTTATATAATATTTTAGTATTATATTTTGGTTCACCCTAGAAATATTTTATATTTAATTTGTTACTATTTATAATTTTAGTCATTTTTTTTACATTTTGAAAAAAAACATTTTCCCATAGGGTTCCATAGAAAATGCATGCGGGTCACTTTTGACCCGCTTATGGAAGCTTGGGGTAATAATACAAAAACTACAATTTCTTAAAATGTAAATTTAAAATAAGAATGGCATGATATCCAAAATATGTTTTTTGAGGAATAGCTGGAATATGAAATGATAATAAAATGTAATTACAAAGATACTTCAAGAAAACCACCTCACCGGGTCAAAAAAGACCCACTAAGGGTTAAGAATGCTTTTTTGAAAGTGGCCCAAGAAAAATATAATACCAGGAAGTGACTTGGTAACTGCAGTTGCTAAGTTAAAGGCCCTATATAGCATAGTAGAGAATAAATATCGCCTTGCAGCTTTGATCCTATATGACACCAAGTCAACAAAAAGTTCAACTTTAGATAAGCTGGGAAAGTTTGCCCTTCACAAGAAAATTACTCAATCAAACAGGAACTCCTTTTCAAACAAACGTCAGAAAAAGCTGTCTTTCAGCCTGAAGGAGCTGTCTGCGGTTTTTCGACACCCGAGAGAGAGGGAATTCATTCTGTAAAGAGCAATACACCTGTGAATTGAGGTATATATGACGATATACGAAAGGGAAACGGGGAACTACCAAAATGAGTACCCCATTCTCTATTTAAATAGACTTTTCCTTTATGCGATGTTCTAATTTTTGGTGATTTGAGTTGGCTTCCACATCATGAAGCAGCTCATGTTGTGCTTGTATTGCTAAATTACCAGGGACAGGAGACACATTGAGGTGGGTGTGGGTTGAATTCCCTCGGTCATCACTGCATGATACTGCTGTTCACAACACACAAGTAATGCTGAGGTTGAAGTCCATAACAGAAAAATGAAATCATACCGAGACCTGTGATTGACCCCAATTTGAAGCCAACCTGTGACATTTAGAGTTCAGGAGCACCGCCCCAATGCCTCATGACGATCTCTCACATCTACTACTCGCAGCTATTCCAGTCCTGAGTTAAGCTGTTTCACTGATGAGAGGGGACAAGCATCCTCTCCAGAGCTACCACTAGAGAGCAGCTCTGACGTCAGTATTCTTTGTAAAGGCCTCTGCTCACATCAGTATCAGATGTGAAGAAATACTCTCTTTTTCAAGTGTAGCTGTCTATCTGCAGAGAGGTTTAAAAGAGGAGCTGTCTTACAGTTGATGCTGTTTGCATACAGAGGTGTAGTGAGGCCATGTAATATGATGCTAGAGTATGTAATGTGCATCTGTTTGAAGATGTTGTGCCTTTGTTTCATGCAATTTGAGGTCAATCCACAGTATTTTGACTAGTGCTCAACTTTTTTCCGCTTTAAAGATTGTTTAATTTATGATCAAATCAATGCTTCTATGCATCTCTATGATATGTTGCATCCCTCATAAAAGAAGCCGGTCAATGGACGATGGAAATTGCTGTAGGGCATTATTATCTTTACTGTCTAATCCTATAATTACTTTCTCTATTTATCTTCCTAACAGAGTAATTCAGATTATACATTGTTATACAACACTGACACATGCTGTTGTCGGACAACAGTCCAAAACCCAAATATTCAATCTTTATTTCAGACTCAAGATCCATATCACATACAAAAAGACAAGACACACACCAATAAATAAGATAAAAAGCTAAACACTAAATAAATAAAAACAAATAGATAACAAATATAAAATCAGTCCAATCACAGCACATGCTCACTGTCTGTATAGGCTATTGCGCCAATGTCTCCAAATCATGGAAGAGAACCGAGTAGAACTCTTCACAGCAGGGTTAATTAAAATACATTACATTTGTAATATATCCTCACAGTTAAAGGGTAGGTATAGGTAATTCACTTCAGAAACACTTTTTGTTATATTCCATGGAATGCTCTTAACATCCCGATAGCAATGAATATATTAAATGCTTTGACAATAAATACATACAAAAATCATCTCTGGAAGCCGTAGCGCTGTAAAAAGCACGACCAATCATTTTAGCCGGCCCGGCTAAAGTAACTGGATGGCCTACCTGCCTGTCAGCCTTCCATCTGTGCACAAACTTATCTCGTGCCCTCATTGGTCATGTGCGCGTTCGTGTGTGTTGGAGGAGGGGCTCTGTAAGGAAGTCTGAAGGAAGGGGCAGATTTTTTTCGGCTGCGTACTTTCAAATTCTAGCGCACTCGAGCTGGTTTCTCCATTCTACCCTACCTTTAAGAAGCTGAAACTGTGGGATATTTGTGTTTTACTATTGTTTAAATAATTAATTAATTATGAAAGTAGTTGCAGATTCTTTTTCTGTCAATCCACGAATCCAGGGGCTTTTGAGGTCTAAAACTGTTGAGCTTTAATTCACAACACATCTTTCTCAATCTATAAGCACCGAAAGGTCAGAAAAATATTAATAATATTGCTGGGTTTTGTTGCAGTATATATCTCAAATGTATTATGAGCATTTATACAGTATAAAATGGCTTTTTCAGAAGAAAAGGAACTGTAGGTGAGTCTTTTGAATACATTACCTCAACCCTCAAAAACTCAATCTTTGAACCAAAAGTTAAATGTCAAAAATAAGTAATAATTAGTTGCAAACTGTTTCATTTTCAAGCCTTTTTTTCAGCTTCAGAAATGTTTTACTTTCTCACAGAGCTGAATGTGATTGATGAGAAAGTAAATATTGGTCAAACCTTCAATTATAAATCTGTTAATAATCCACATAAAATGAATTTGAATCAAATGATTTCTCTAAATCAAAAACGTAGACACATGGATTTACTATGAATGTTGAAAGACACTGTACTGCATTAATTGTGGGTGTTGTTTTGATGTGTTTGTCACGAAAATAATATTAAAAACTAGAGTGTTTCATGGATCCAGCTGTGTTTCATTATGAAATAATACTATTGAGGCACTGCAAGGGCATTTCCGTTTTAGATTGATCCTCTGTTATATCAGGCATGCTCTCCTCGGTAGTTAACCACTGAAATCTGTTTTATGTAAGTTTAACCTTAAAGTGCATTTTGCAGAGTCAGGTCAGCTGATAAAACATGACTAATGACTTATTTTGGCACTGTCATTAAGCAGCTTCCCTTCATTAGATATCACAGTCTTACTCTGGAGGACATTCCGCATCATATCTCAATGGGTCCTAACCCCTGAAGCTGTGGTTGTGCCGGGAAAACAGAGACAGTTTGGGCTGATATAACTTCCTGTGTGTTGGAGAGGTCTGTGGTCTGTGTGATCTGGTTGAGATGGAAGCGTTCTGTCTGGATCACAGTTGGCTATGGGTTTCCTGTCCTCTCCCGTCACTTTTCTACCCAGTGCACACTTCTGCTTACTCAGGCGATCTGTGGTTCATAATGGCCCTCTTGGTTGCAGTTTATCTTACAGAATAACAACACTAGCTTGATATTCAACTCCTGGCTGTATGACAATTTGAAGTAATTATTATTTTGATAACATTTGTTAATATTACAACTTTAGGAGCAATTACCATCTGGAGATACGATAGTTTTGACAAGTTATTATGTTCATGTTTGCTTTAGAAAAACGCCCCTGCATTGTGCAATTTTATATAATATATAATATACCAAAACCAACCTCTGTATATTCAATCACTCGCAGGGCTCGGTGTGATCACATTCCGTTTTGCAAACATGCTTCATGTTGAGCAAATGTTTTTATTTGCGTGGCTTTAAGATGATGGATGTGGAGAATTTGAGGAAAAGCAGAAATTGTTAATCATCATAATTCAGCTGACAGCCTTTTAATTTCACTAATGTTGCGGGTAAATGGTCTCTAGCTTTCCTCCCACAGAAAAAAGCAGAACAAAGGGAGTGATTTTCCTGTCTTTTGTTTCCAGTCAGTTATTAAATGTATTGTCTGCACGTGTGTGGACATGTCTGGGTTTATGGCATATCATCATCCCTGTTCTCTTTGGCCTTTGTCTCTTCAACTCTTAGGTGGTGAAGCTCTTAAACAACAAGCGTTCACAGGCTGTGGGTATTCTGATGTCCAGCATCCACCTTGATATGAAGGACATCCAGAATAGTAAGTGTTATCATCAAGTCCTCAATATTTATCAATACATCTGAACTTATCTTCCTTAAACCCTTTGAGTTCAAGAAAACAATTGGAAACAGTGTAATGCGTCTGCGCACTATAGAACGTAGATGTTATATAATTTAACCTTTTGATATATCAATTAAAAAAACTAGAGTGACAAAGTGCTTGACATAAATCAAACTGAGCGTGAAACAATTTAAAAGGGCACTTAAAAAAAAGCCCCCTGTAAAGACTGAGCACTGACATCAAAACATCCATAAACCTAAAACATATTTGAAACACACTTTGTGTAGAACATTGAAATGATGGCCAGGTTTTTCTTGTTGTTTATTGGAGCGCCTCTATCTCAATCTGCTAAAGACATCTTGTTCTGAGTCTGCTGGATAGTGACGTGAGTAACTATGAGTATATGCTGAGGTCATTGCCCGAAGATTAAACTTCCCCATAGTTAGCTTTATCACAAGTCATAATGTTGCAAGGCATCTGAAATGTTTTTCCTTTGTTGCTCTCCCCCATCTGTTTTTCTTTGCTCTCATTTTGCATTATCTCTCCCCATCTAACATCCACATCGTGTTTCTGCGCGGCTCTCTGTCTTTCTTTGATGAGTTGTCACCGTCTTGTCTGAGCGGCTTTGTTAAAGTGAAGTCATTCAGGAGATGTTGATGGGAGCAGACTGTTTTCCTGTTTTAGTTACTCTCTGATTGCTCTCCAGTCTTCGCTCATCCATGTGTCTAAACACTCTTTCTCATCTCCCCGGCCTTTTCAGTCCCCCTCCAATAGAGGCGTTATTACAGCTTCAAATCTGTGTCTCAATGGCAGCTTGGTATATTACATTCAAATACCACAGAAAACGGGTATATCGTACACTTCTATCCATTACCAGTTAATTAAGAAGTACAGTATCTTCAAAGTGTTTGGGGGATTTTCATTCTTCAGGATCTCTCAGTCTTTGGTGCATCCATCTCAGGTCAGAGTGGGAGGGCAAGTGAGGGCCACTCTCATCAGCACTGTCATTCGTCTCCTTTGTTAGGACAGTTTTTACCAAAGTGCATAATTAGCACTGATTGGAAACTTCAGTTCATCATGGAGAGTAAAGGCTGAGTGGCGATATCCCAATGGTTTGTTGGTGACGTACTTCTTGATATGTCTTGTTATTCCCAAAACAATGCCTTGAACAAACAAAGTAACCCAAAAATATGTTTGTCATGCATTTAATTGTACATACTTATTATTTCACCATAGAACAAACCCCAACAGATTATATACAGTATTAGCAACGCTTTGTTTTCCCATTCCTGAGATGATCTCATGTCCCCTTGTGCTGTTCGAGGGTTAAGATGATTAACAAATCAACACAAATGTATTTACAAAAAGGAATGATTCACAAAGCAAAACTTTTTAATTGCCCCCTTTCATCATGTTTTATTCCCTCTTAATTCTGGGACGAAAAACTACTTTGGGATCAATGATTTAGATCGTGTCTCTTGTAATAGTCAGTAAGAGGTGAAAACATTTCCGGTTTCCTCACTGCTGTTGTTGTTTGTTGTGAGTCCTGGCTGACACTTTGCGTGTTTCACAAGACACATCCGAGCAATGTCTGCTTCCTGTGAGGCTTTGAAGCGCCACTCACAGTATTATTTTGTTGTTTCCCGGACCCACGCTGGGGTTGAATGTGGTAGTCGGGGTAGACCCAGGGAGATGGGTCTGGCTTTCGGTAATAGTCTGTGAGATGATACAGCTTTCTCCTACGTCTTTTAAAAAAGCTGACTCAAATCAAACCAGCCAGTCACACTTTGTTTCAGATAGTAATAAAAACCAAATGGTTGCAAAAGAAGAATGCGATAAATGGGAAAAATGGGAAAGTCAGAAAGCAAGAAGGCATTTCTGTGGCAACGAGGTGAGAGTGTGTGGAAGTTAGAGTGACAGTAATGAGCTGAGAAAGAAGTGGGTCTGCCCTTGTGGCACAAGAGTGAAGATATTAGAAAGGCTGCAGGATTAGATAAGGAGAGATAAAGCAATATCAAAGCTGAAAACGTGAGACAAAACTGAGTCAGTACAGCAGTCCCTCGAGGCCTTTTTCCAAATGCATGTCCTGTCTCTAATTTAGGTTTATAATGCTCTCTTTATTTCTTTTTAAGTCTGTGAAAAGCTTATAAGGAGTCCAGTCACGCTCAATGTCCACGCATGATGTGATGCGAAGTGAACATTGTGCATTGAGTCCATTACTCCCAGGTTCCTTTATCCCTTCTGACACTAGCTTTTCCCCCCCGTACTTAAACAGCAAATCAGCAGATCAAAACAATGTGAGTAATTTGGACACCCACATCACGGTGAAATACATATATAGGTGTCGAGTGTTTCACTGGGTGATTGTGCGTACAGCAACACCTCAGCCTCAACACGGCAGACCCCCGGGCTCTGTTTGTCTTTAAACATTTACTTTCAAAGGATTAATGCTCACGGGCGCCAGGTCCTCGCACCGAGACAAAAAGGCGACACAAGGAATTCAAACACAGGAGTTCAAACACAGATCTTTGTACCTTTGACAGATTTCTAAGACCTCTGTATATATGTTTGAGTTTGTGGCCCCTTCCTTGCTGTATTGATGAGAGTTGATATCTATGTAACTCACAGCACACGGCACATGACGCTTTATTTAGGGTTGCAAGTAGAATTTTGCCCTTGTTTCATGCCACCTTAAGCTCTGAAAAGTTGTTCTGCCAATGTTTGAGATTGTTGTTACATCCAAGGAAAATATTGTTATCTAGAGATTATAAAAGTGGAGGCCTGTTAGTGTTAACGTTAACCATGTCATCCTCTCCTTCCATACACAGCCGTTCTAAATATGGACAACACTGTGGTTGATCTGGAGACTCTGCAAGCCCTTTATGAAAATGTAAGTACAACAATCTGAGCTACTTGGAAGCTGTGTCTTTGTGGTTTCAGCATTCATAAACATTTCTCTTTTACTTTTTTGACTTTGAATGGAGGATGATAAGGCTCATGTGGACAGTGGTTTCAGTAAAGTCAATAGACTCGTGAAAAGACAATATCCCAAACTGGAATACATTTCTGCCCTTTCCTGCCAATGCAGACCCATATAAATACACAGTGTTGAGCAACAAACCCAGTATAATTATACAAACTAACACCACTGACAGCTCAGGCTAATCTTGACTGCAGTATTTGGTGTGGGAAAACCCTACAGTCTTTTTTGTTTCTCCTCTGTGGTTTGCAGTAGAAGTATTATTATGGAACAGTTTGCTTGTGACAAATACAGTGATTTATGGTTACACATTTCATGCCATATATGAATAACAGGCAATCTTTTTATTATAGAGTGAAACCTAAGAAGACTCAACATGCTGTGATATCAACAAAAAGGCAAAACAAATCATTCATCAGCTATTAGAGTTGTTTTATTTGGCACTTTCCTGAGAATAAGCCACAAAACACCAACAGCTATCCATCAAAAGATACCTCTCCAAGATTATAAGATCCTGAACTTTTGACATACAGTGTAGGTAAGAAAAAAACATGCCTTTTAATTTAATTTATGTTTTTATAATTTCAAGCAATGTTATTTTTGCTCAGTGAGTCAGAGATGTCACTTTAATATGAACGTATTTCATTGTGGAGTTCTTATTCCATGCTCCACTTGAAAGGGTGAACTAAAGGAAGTGTGCATTAGATACCAAAACAAACAGGCGAGCCACAAACCGAACTGGTATGTGTGCTGTTTGGCGACACAGTCAGTCTTGTGTAGGTCTGTCTGCCGGCCTGGAAGGCGACCAACGCTTTCACATAGTAAACATGTTTTTTCTTCACACTGGCTCTGATTGACTTCATTTTTTGTAACGCACCAGAGCAAAGGAAATTATAGTTGAGAAACTCCAGCTTTTGTCTCACACAACTCTTCTTGAAAGTCCAGGTTTGTTTTTCAAATGAAAAAAGAGAGAGACTACACTGAGCCTTGCCAAGTGAAACGACCACATTTTATCGTACGATATTAGCATAAAGGGAATTACAGAGCTGTCACTACTCCAATATGTCTCCATTTCGACCATGAAGGGCTCCTTGTACACAGTAAATACATATTCATCACCCCTCACTGATAGGAAATATCCCCCCGCCCAGTGAAACGGGTCAGGACCCGTTCTAAGTCAGGTCAGTAAATAATGGAACATGAAAACGACATGTTTTCCATATTTCAGCTGTAATACAGTTTTAAGATGCTGTGAAATTCCTGTGAATTGCTTTTTGGCACAACTACACAGGGAGGCCTGGACCTTTGGCTACCAGAGGCATATTAATAATGTTGATCATGGGAATGAGACTACGGCTCGAGACAAGCTGTAGTTATGAACCAATGTGTCATAACTGAGGATCAAAAGTCTTCTAACCTCTCCACTCACCCCAAGACTTCAAGCCCTCTCCCTCTCTCTGCTTCTCCCCCTTATGGCCTAAGGCTATGTTATTGAGTTGAGGAGCCAAATTGTTTCTCTTTTGTATTGCGAGACTCCATCCTGTCTGTGGGTCTCCAGCCCCCTAAACCACAGTTGGCAGCACAGTCAGCCTGTCTTGAGGAATGCGAGGGGCTTCTAATGGTTACACCCTCACTCACTGTGCAAGGAGCGAGATCACACACTGTTCTCCCTCACTCTCTTTTACTCTCTCACACACACAAACATACTCACAAACAAACACTTTGACCCACACAAATGTGTGCATACTGTACTGTATGCACACAGGGACAGAAACACACACAGGGACAGAGTCACTCAGTCTATGAGCTGCGGATTACAGCCACTCCTGTTCTTTGAACAATAAGCCACCGCCATTAAAGGGGTCACAGTGATAGTGGGACACCACTCCCTCCCCTCCAATATCACAAGCTATAATCTGGGTCCAGACTGGCTGTCTGAAGTTCAGACTCTCTCTCAGCTGACGGTAGCTAAATGTCATGGAGGTCAGTTAAAGCCCTCCTACGAACTTTTATACTACGAATAATTGCCTCAGGTTTTTTTTTTTTTACGACAAGGCATTGTGATGTCACAATATAGGCCTTAAAGTGTCTTATATATGTTAATATATTTGTATTACATGATTACATTTGTCATTTGAACACTGTTCTTTGGCAGCTCAATGTACAAATAATCTCATGAATGTTGGTCTGCTGAAAATGAGTGACATAAATAGTGATTTAAGCCCAGGCTGGCTCTGTTTAGTCCTGTACTAGGAACCTGGCTAATGAATACCACTCAGCTACCACTAGATTTCTGACATCACAAATATCATCCTACCTTCCTTTGCATTTGATATTCCACATGGGACTGCATTTTTCTCATGCTAACAACCACTGCAACATGCCCTAGCAATTCAAAGATCACACGCTAATGCCTACTTGTCCCCAATTACACCAAACACTGCTGGGCTCCACTGCTGCCCTTTGAAAAGGATCTGCTTTGTATTAAATATATTTACACTTGAAAACATCTCAAGAGAAGGCGAAGGAGAGTTTGCCCTCGTCGACAGAAGGCAGCGGTGTGTAGAATACTAATCGGGCTCTCCGTGCGTTTGATGCTGGTGTTTGATGTTTTCCAAGGATCCATGAAAAGGCCAAACCATAGAGAGAACGATGGAGAGAAACAGAGGGAGAGACCAGACTGCTGACACTCAGACTTCAGGGGTCTATGGAGGGACAGAAAGAGTTTACATTCTCTTCCTGGGGATGGTTTTATTGTTTTGCCCGTTTGCGTCAGACGCATTTCAATCTATTGTCTTTGTCTCTTGTGAAACGAAGGGGGCATTTCTGGCCTGCTTTTTTATACCACCTTATATACAACTTTGGTCCTGAGCCTGACAGCAGGATAATAGTTGGGAATGCATTCTGGCTGAAGTAACCACTTTAGCATTTATGAAACCTATACTGTATAGATGGCCATTGAGTGGAGTTTAAGGTTAACCAGCTACATTCTTAACTTAAGATTTTCTCCATTAAGAAATAGAGAGCTAAGCCTACAAAACAATACATTCTTATAATTTGTCTTTTTTATTTCATCCTGTTCTTAAATCTGCATTTTCTTTTGACAGAGAGCTCAAAATGATGAGTTGGATGGCATTAAAAAGCATATCAAATCATCACAAGACAAGGAGGATGCCAAGCCACTGGACAAGCCTGAACAGTAAGAGCCAGACTTTCCTTCAACCAAGTTCATTACATGAGAGCTGTGTCATTAAACATTAAAGTGACTGATCTTGTGCCTTCATCAGGTTTCTATTCCAGTTATCCCAAATCCCCAACTTCTCTGAACGAGTGTTCTGCATCCTGTTTCAGTCAACTTTCCATGAGTGTATCACCTCAATCCTCCGCAAAGTAGAAATCCTTCAGAGGGTTTGCAAGGTGAGCCGCTGGCCCTCTTTTTCTTTCATTTACTTTTCCATCACTCAATTTAACCTTCATCTCTTCATCTCCTTCGTTTGTTCGTGTGTATGTGTACCAGACTATCCAGGATGGTAAGTGTGTATTGCAGGTGCTTGGCCTGGTGCTGGCTTTTGGCAACTTCATGAACGGAGGTAATCGGTCTCGAGGGCAGGCCGACGGCTTCACCTTGGATATTCTGCCAAAACTGAAGGACGTTAAGAGCAGTGTGAGTCTTTGTGTTACAGGAGTAAAAGCAAACATCACTCACTCTTAAGAGTAGACACTTAATGAAGTGTTATTCACAAGAAAACAGGAGACTGGATTCCATGGTAAAAATGTTTAAATATGTAAAGGGTATGAGTTCCCACAGAAACCGCTTTATTTATAATTCACATTGTTCTCGAAAAATGTTGTGTGTGCAAATGGTGACTCCAAATGTTAATCACGTATGGTCGAGCCAAGAGCTTAACGTCCAGGAGTTGAAAGGGACCTTCATTGCTGCCCCACATAAGGACCATTGGCGTGCGGATTTAGAGGAGAGGCCTTTCTGTTTACTCTTCTTATTTAATATTACAACAGTCTCAGCGTGTCCTTGGCACTGCCATATAAGGACACAGTGGTTTGTGTTTTTGTGGTGGTGGACCGGGTAAGGTATCCATAAAGAACATCAAACTTTCCACCAACTCTAAGTTATGACAGCCAGCCCAGCAGTTATGTTTTGTTGTAGTGCTTCTTCCAATGCCATGATTTATCCCCGACTTCTATAACCGCTGTCTCTATTCTTGTTTGCCACGCACAAATTAAAACGTCCTGCTCCGAAATGATTAAATTAATAAATAAAGGGGTTTATTTATTTGGATCTTTTTTTCTCTCTTTCAGGATAACTCCCAGAGTCTTTTGTCCTACATTGTTGCTTACTATCTAAGGCACTTTGATGAGGTATGTTTTGGTTCCTGTTTATTTGAATCACTTTTTCTGTTTTAGCCTGATTTGCTTAGAAATCCTTCCAGAGCTCTCTTTTCATCTCCTCTCTTGCCAGAGGATACTATGGCTTATCCTCTATCAAATTATTTATTTTCACTTTCCTTTTTACGGCAGAAACAAATAACTCCCTTTCTCCTTGGCTCTCTCTTATTATTCTCTTTCTGTCTTTCACTCTTCATCTCTCGCTCTGTTTTCGTCTGGGTTCATTCAAACCTGCAGTCTGCTCATTGGCACAGCATCCAAAGGAGCGCTAGTGTAAATAATTAGGTTCTCCAGATGAGATGAACTCAGTAGAGTGCTGTTGCCAAAATCAACCTGCATGACATGGCTGTAGCACTAATAATGTAACTCTGATAATGAGAATTGCAGTGCTCTTTCTGCACCAAGCGTATTGGTCATTATCTGCTGTAGTTCCAGCCATATCTTCTCTGTGATGTTTGGACGGCTGATAAAAACATGTAGGGCTCTGAAGACATTTATTTCAATCTTGCCTCTTCTGTATGGTATGTACTAGAGGGGCCCTCTCCCATTTGAGAAAGATTGACTTTGACACTGGCGTGTTTTTTTTGTTTGCACGAATGTGTTTTGTGCTTTACCAGGATGCTGGTAGAGAGACGTGTGTCTACTCTCTGCCCGAGCCCCAGGACCTTTTCCAGGCCTCCCAGATGAAGTTTGAGGACTTTCAAAGAGATCTGCGAAAGCTAAAGAAAGACCTCAATGGTATTGTCGTCAATTTTTTGTTCCACATTTCTCCCCTTTGTTTAAGCACATCTAAAACACAAGTTCACCAGATAGTAAACTTGTCCAGGCCGTATCCTGCAAATGATGTCAGGTGTCATACCATGTTTACAGTAAGATACCATCTCATGGAAATGGATGAGCAATCGTGTATGTATTAATCCATGCACACGTCTTCTAGCACAATGGAAAATAACGTTCCAAACCTGACCAGCTATGGTCATGTGCTGATCGTAGAGGCGGGTCAACAGAGAGATAGCATCTGTTTGTCCTACAGACGAGCTAACCAGAAGCAGATGTGACTTCAGATGAAGACTCCTGTTGGACCTGGCGTGCCTTCACTGTCCTCATGAAATAGAGGATCAAAATATAGAGGGGGCAAGGTCAGGGAGACTTCCACTACCTGTGTACACCGATGGTTCACCGCCTTTCACTGAACCAGAGGAGGCTCTCCTGGAGCTCCATATCAACTCACCCTGCACGCCGCAAACCTCCAAACACAACAATGAGAATGTTTTAAATAGAACTACTATACTCCTACATGTCTCTGTGCATGCTGTGCACCTTTGCCAAGGGTCCCTTAAATATGATTTATGGATGCGCTGATTGTTTTAAAGGCTGACTCTTTGACACACTTGTTCAATTAGTTTGTGAACATATAGTGGCTATTCCATTACATAACTTTACACTATACACTACCAGCTTTTTTAATGTCAGGACTATCTCCTTATTAGTAGATAAACCTCTATATCTTCAACATTTTTGCAACAGTAACCCAACAACCTTCATAAAATAACTTTATGAAGGTTTGAAAGCCAAAGAGTACATTTCCATTGAAACATGACTTATCCATCAATGAAGTGAAAATTTAATAAAACACATGATCGTGAAGAGTATGATTTTGAGTCACATTTTTGTAATAAACGGAAAGAAAATACTTTTGCTATGCATAAAGAGTTAACATATAAACGAAGAATGAACAAGTAATGCAATATCAAGACGTCAGGAAAAATGTGTGGAAAGTGGATTATGCTTGACATGCAAAATGATTGGTTGAGTGAAGAGTCCTAATGAACGAGGCAGTGGGGAAATGCTCCCTTTCATTACTCTGTCTCCAGTCTCTCAGCACTCAGAACACTTTCCAAGGGCTGAAGTGCCTACAGGTGGTAAAGAACGACTGTGTATTTGGAATGCGTATGTGTGCACTCTTGAGACTATGTACATGTGTACGTGTGCCTGCAGCTCTATAGACAATTCCCCATACCTGGTCTGTTCTCTATCATGTTTTATGTGTCTTTGCTGGTAAATCTATCAGGTGCCTGATCCGTGTTGCCAAATATTGTTTTTCCTCTCCCTTAATGAGTCTTTAGGCTGTTCATTATTTGCCATTCATAAAGGTGGAGGTGCTGGCAGGGGACTTGCGTTTGCTCTGACCCCAGTCGCAGTGGCACATGTTGTCCGAACATAAATACATCGTCACATGCTATACCTGCAGACCTCTTCATTACCTCGCAGAGCCAGTGAGTGCTCTGACAGACACGGCATGCAATGACAGTTCCCAGAGGGGGGCTCCGATAGTAGGCGGTGCAGAAATGGCCTTGGCGGGCCCGAAGGCCATCAGTTAGCCCCACAGTGGAGAGTTTGCAGTTTACCTTTTAGGTTGAGGCACCATATGGTTTATGAATTACCAACTGCCCAGTCCCAACCTCCCTATTCCCTCTAGCGCCTCATGGCCTCTCCACCTCTAAGGTACTTGAGCGGAGTTTGTGTATCCGTTATGTTTGCAGATAGAGCGTGACGATAAGTTCCTCCCGAGATCAGAACGCAGGCCTTCCTGTTTCCTGGGGGGGCCTTTCAGTCATTACGGGTCATTATGTCTTTCCCGACACCTATTCAGCAGAAACTCAGCAGAGATTTATCAAAGCAGGCTCGGAAGTTCACTGTAGAGTTTATAATTACAACACTGGATAATATATTATTGCTCTGAAAGACTTTTCCCCCTCTCACCATGATCATCTCCTGTTTTTTCAGCCTGCTCAGCTGAGACGGAGAAAGTTTGCAAGTTTTCCTCTGAAGAGAACCTTCAACCCTTTAAGGACAATATGGAGGAATTTATTTGCCAAGGTGAGTCTGTCCAAATCAATCAATCTAATAATTGATGAGTCGTTCACCAGTCTCATTGAGAAGCAAGACGTGTCTGTGTGACCAATACTGACACAGTACAGTATATTGTATTGCTTTATGAGAGAGCCTTAATTGTAGTCCAGAAACTGTTGCCGAATGTCTTCGAGATCTTCACAACACTATGTTAACACAACAGAGTCCCAATAGAATCGAGTTTACTGAAGATTACATGTTATTTGTTAGACGCTTTTATCCAAAGCAACTTACATACTCAATACTGTGGACAATCCCCACTGTAGCAATTTGGGGTGAAGTCTCTTGCCCAGGGACACAACAACATGCTGACTGCAGTGGGGTTTGAACCTGTGACCCCCTGATTCGAACACCAACGCACAACCCACTGCGCCACACTCCTCCTCCTTTACAATGTTCATGCTTCTTTTTATACATACTATACTTCTTTTGTGTGTGTGTGTGTGTGTGTGTGTGTGTGTGTGTGTGTGTGTGTGTGTGTGTGTGTGTGTGTGTGTGTGTCCTACTTCTCTTTCATCCCAGCAATACTCTAATTAGGAGTATTGGCTGATCAAAGGTACTAGGGGAGTCTCAGGCTCTCCTTTCTGACCTTGATGCTCTCCATTTTGATCTTGATTTTCTCCATTACATAAGACACCATTATCTCTTCGACCATCCTGAATTCCCCTCCTCAATCATATTTGTTCGACATCTCAACCCAGGTCAGTTTCAGCCTAGGTCATTTTTAATGGTGTCTCATCCATGCTTGCCCTGAGCTACCAACTCCCTCTCTCACAATCTCCACCCCTTAGCATTACACCATTATTGTCTCCAATCAGCAGGACATTCCACAGATAACAAGTTATTGTATGTGTTTTTGAGCATGTATGTTGTCAATGGTTAGGGTTGTTATTTAATCTGTCCCATACATATAAAAAATATCCCACAAAACTATCAAAGATTATCAATGTGCTGTACTCTTTGCATTGTGTTACATGTTGAATAGAGGTTTTCACCGATACACTATTCAAACCTATGTGAGTAAGATGTTAGGTGTCAAGCTTTCCAGGGAAATGGTTAGGCTTTTTTTTTCTTGTTACATGCAGTTCTGCTTTGTTGCCTGCTTAGTCAGTCCACAAACAATTCCCCAATAGGGAATGTTAGTACTGCTGAAGATGGACAGAAGAAGAACATGTGTTGACATTAGCAATATTCAATACAGTTAGTCCATCCTTAAATATCCCTACAAATGTTTTAGACTTAAAGTTTGCTCCTCTGTGTTACCATCAGGAGTTAAACTTTAAGAAGCAAATAATGTCTCCTTCCTAATTCAAAAAGTATTCTGTGCTGGTACACCCTTGGCATATCTAAGCTGAAAATGCATCTCTGGTGTGAGAGCACATGCTGCAGCTCATCGATCAGAATGATGTAAGTCTTGTATGTCTGCACACACATTTCCAAATCTGTTTCAGGCTGCTTTCTGCTTGATACACACACAAGGGTTCACTCAGTGTCGTTTCCATAGGGACGTCTGTTTATACCAGTGTGTATTGAATAACTCAGCTATTGTTTCAAGTATACCTGCTTTGATGGATTATGACTGCACTTGGTAGCTGGGTCTTTTATCTCGATCTCTACCTTTTATAGAACAGAGTATTCTTTGCTCTGCCTCAAAGGAAGATTCAGGGTCAGTCCGTTAGAGAACTGCAGGGAACAGAGCTGGATGCCTGAGAGTCTGGAATAAAACTGACTAGTGGACATCCAGATCCCTTTCACTTAGTACTTTGGGCGTCATGACATTTTATTATCATATATATTTGTCCTTTTTTCTGCTTTGAAAATTCCACTTAGTTCCAGTCTTCCTTAATCTTCCCATGTTTTCTGCTGTTCTGTATTTTACCTTTTTTTCTGTCTGAACAATGAGAGATTAGAAACATCTCGTTGCCTCCTTGACCTCTTCTTTCATTCCATGACTCCTTCAATCCTAATTGGAAATCAAATAAACCTTTCAGCGCGGTGTTTACGAAGAGGCCTGTTAACATGATAATGATGATGAATTGATTGTAAATGACGATCTTCCTCTATTGGCCTTTCATTTAAACAATAGTCTATTGACATGCTAGTAGCTCTTAAAGCAAAAGCTGGTGTTTAAGCTAAATGCTCACAATAACAATGCTAACATGCTGATGCTTATCCGCTAGTATGTTTCACAAGTTCGCCATCTTAGTGTAGTGCATTAGCATGCTAACCTTTACTAATCAGCACTAAACATAAAGAACATTTCAGGATGAAAAAAATGTAATTAAGATTTGAACTGATGATTATACAGTATGAGTATACAATATGAGCCTAACAGGAATCTGGAGGAATGGCATGGCAATCCATTCAATAGCTGTTAAGACATTTCAATCAAAACTCCAGATGTCCGCCTCATGGTGACGCTTTGAACAGTTTTATGCCATCAAGTAGATGTTGTGACATTTCTCTGAAAAATAAAACTCTGACATGCAATATGAAAACATTTAGGATCTTTAAAGCCATTAGGATGCATCCTTTGGGCACCATGGGTATCTGTGCCAGATTTGATGGCATCTCATCAAAGATTTTCAGACATACGTCCGTCATGACCAAAGTGTCTTACCCACATTGCCATCCCGAGAGCATTGCCACATGCATTTTAACTTTTAAACAAACAGTTAAAAGAGAAAGAAAGAAAACAGTTATTATTACATTTTTGTTTAAGATATTGTTCCGTTAAAGCGTATCCGTCATTTTCACCAGATGTCACACAGACATGCTTTTTTCCTCTCCCTTTCCTAATCTGGCATTTAAAACGAGCTCCACTTCAAACATGTAAGACTTATTTGTTATTCTTGTTTTAACATAACAATCGAAAAGCCTTTCTTTATGTAGTATTGACTCTGACCTTGGCTACATCCAGTTGGCTGTGACCAATCTTTGTGAAGGACCCGGCTCACAGGCCTCTCTCCCAACTGCTTTTGTATTCAGATGAGAGTATAATACATAGCATATGTTGTTCAGCGGTAATGCTCACTGTCCATTTTAAAGGAAGTCTCCAGATGAAAGCATCTCTCCTCATTGCCACCCCTTTCTTTTCCTTCTTGTTTCCTTTCTGTCTGTGTTTGAGAGAAATATGGGAGCTCTCTCTTTGATGCAAAGAGAGAGGAGGTTTTTCCTCTGAGAGCAGAATGTAAGCACCGTAACATGGACATGTGACTCATAAGGCTCCAGACGGGTTTCTTGGGGTTCCTCCACTGCGGCGGTGAAAAAAAGAACAACAGCCAAATGTCTTATTTTTGTTATTTCTGTAATTTCTAAAAGGCCTGGGGTTAAACTGTTTCTGGCTCCACAGTTTAAACCGCTTTTGTTTATTTTCTGACCATGAAACTAACCACAGAATAACAGTGGGAGCGGACTTGTTGGAGCTCGGCTGTTTGGTCTAGCTCGATTTTCCCCGCTCGCTTCACAAATTCTCATGCATGCAGGCCTTTGATGGAGTCACTGTGGCTAGCAAGAGAGCACTGGCCATGTGATAATCTGTTTCTAATGGACATAAAGATTAGAAAGACTGATGTCAAACCCCCTTCCTTTTTTTTATACCAGCTACAACTTTGTTGCTTAGGATGGCACATCATGTCAAACGATTATGTTTAAAATGAACATAACATAATATATAGTATATAACATAAGAGGGTAAAATCACACATTAAATAGACGTGTTGATTCTTAGCCATGATGTGATGAGCTGACATCTTTAAATAATATTTACTGCAAAGCTTTCTGTATCAATTTTATTGTAAATACAGTGTTAATCCTTACAGTCATCCCACCCCACAATATCACAATATCACATTTTCTCAATGATTAAATGTTTTTAGAAATAGATTTGACATCACTCATAGCAGAATATTATAGTAAGTGTAATGTTAAAACATGTTTCCTTAAAACAACAAGGCACAGTCCGGATATCAAGATGCATCCAGCATTGCCATTCATATTATTCATCAATTTGTCATCATTTATTGATGAGCCGCCAGCGGAGAGACATGATCGTGGTCTGCAGCGTGATTTAGTGCTGTGCTACGTTAAAGCAAAGTTCTGGGCTCAACGGGTTTGTCTGAGATCTTTAGATGTGGCTCTGGATTCAATTACACGTAGCAACCAGATATTCCCGGGATAAGAGCAGAACACAGCCTTGTGCCAGGACAGATTCTCCGTCCCTTCTACTGTCATGTCTGTCTTGAAAAGCCACAATGTTTCAAGGCAGCAGCAGCTCTCAGATGATTGACCTTAAGGCGACAGAAAAGTTCATGTCTAACATTAGATATAAAAATGTAGACCCGTAAATGTACAGCTGGATTGACTCTAGTATGATGTATTTGAAAATTAGGATGAAAAATCAGCCCATGGGTCTGAAATGTGATAAGAAGTAGTCTGCTGTATTTGCCTGAGCGAAGCTGTCACATTTCACTGCTGGTCTCTTATATCATCATTTATGGTGCAGTCAAAAGGATCCTGATGGCCGGCCTAGATAAATGTTGTGGCTTGCTGGAAGTATGTCCTAATGTGTACCATGGTGTCCAACTCACAGTTTTCTTACCCTCTTGCTGTCTCACCCTTACTCTCTCACCTTTTGCCCACAAACACACATTACCTTTCAAACACACACACACACACACACACACACACACACACACACACACACACACACACACACACACACACACACACACACACACACACACACACACACACACACAGAGTCAGTCCGTCAGTCAGTCATCTGTCTTCATTCGGAGTCACCCTGCACAAAGAAGCACTTGTCCTGCGATCTGCAGTACTCATTTGTCAGTTGTGCAATAGCGGACAATCCAACACTTAATAACCTGGTGGCACAGCGATGACCTTGAAGAGGACTGTTGATTTAAGTAATGATGACATCTGGAATCCTCCTATATACAAGTTGCATTGTGGGTGAAAGATGTATTTTCTGATGTTACAGGAAATCCCAAATCGGTCCTAATCCTTATTTAAACCTGTATTTACTCATGCTCTGCTCTCTCCTTATATCAAAACGTGCCTTCTTTTACAGCCAAAACCAAACTGGAAGCTCAAGAGAAGCAACTGGCTGACACTGAAAAGATGTAAGACCTTCTTCATTTCATTAAACACTTTCAACAGCTTCTTCACCCGAAAAGTAAACGCAGTCGCTTCTGTTTCATTTCATTGGTTCCCTTTTGATCTATTCTTAACCTTCAAAACAGTGATCCCAGTTGTGAATAACAAAGAAAAAGCAACACAGGATAATGCAATCCAATCCAGTTTAAAGTGTTATTTCCTCACTGAATTAAAGAAATACTACCTAAATACTACCTACTTTGTCAATATGTATGACTCCTGGTTCCTTCAGTTATATGGAAGGTGCGGGCCATGATGCCAGGCCTTCAGCAGACGGGAGGCCCCCTGTGCGGTGTCTGTGTTGTTTATCTAAGCGGAGCGAGAGTAGACAGCCTTGGCTCCAGGCTTCTGTTACTGCTGGCTAGGAATGTGTTCCTATAGCACACTCCAAACAAAGAGACCCCAACCTGTCCACTGTATTGATCCACTACAAATGGCCTTTAACAAGTTGCATCCCCTGCTATACGCAAGCTCTCATTTTGTTAGATCTGTCTTTGTCTTTTTGTTGGTAGTCGTTGCAGTATGTGTGAGTATATGTACAGAAACGTACAAACAGGCTTATTCACACCTGGAAGAGGAAATGCATAGAAGTTCAGTCCCTGTTAATCTGCCAGATAAAAAACTGAATTACTACACGACTTTATTGCTAGTAATCCCATTTTGTGTGCACTGTTCTATTCTGAAATGCACAGTCATCATTGGTTTGTGTTTTTTACGTTATTTACGTTCAGAAAAAACTCATTATCCCAAGATTTACTTTCGTATTTTGCATATTTTCTCGTCAAAGCCAAGTTTCACAACAATCGGAGTAGGTTTCTGTAATCTCATGTTGTAATAGTTTGGTTTCTAAGTAATGTTTTCGTTCTCTGTCCCCAGCTTCTTGGAGCTGACCATGTCCTTTTCAGTTAAACCCAAGGCAGGGGAAAAAGAGGTTTCACCCAACACTTTCTTCTCCATTTGGCACGAGTTTTCCTCTGATTTTAAAGACCAATGGAAGAAGCAGAATAAGCTGATGTTACAGGAACGGTAAGAATATGGTGACAAGTTTTCAGTTTCGGACTGTGACATTATATTAGTTGAAGAGTGTGTCTGGATACTGGATAATGCTGCTAAACTGAGTCTTTTCAGTCATTTTGTATTGTTTCTTTGGAAAGGGAACACCACTTTCTGACCTACAAAATGTCATTACAGATATACCAATGTTCCAACATTTAGATTTATCCCCAAGCCAATGTTTCTGAAACATTATGCAGTACATCTCGTGTTCACTGAAGATCCTATCAGATTCATTCAAATTCATGAAGGGAAAAGCGGTTAAACGACCCAAATCTTTGTCCTCACCCCAGTAATGAAAAGAACACATGCAGCATCCAGTTAGCTTCCAGTGGTTTGATGAACATAAAGATACTGCCGCATATGTCAACAAAAAGTAAATTGGTCCATTATGCCAAATTCAGATTGAATTGTGATATGTATTTTTAAGAGAAGCAAAATGTCACAAGCCTTGCTTGTTCAGTAGGAAAGACTAAAACAAATTTGAAAGCATTTACTCTTTGCCCTTTGCGATTGGCAATCATCCCAATTCACTCTCTGCTGGTTTCCTTTTAGACTCCAGTGGAACTATAGATAATAATCCTCACCTGTAGGGACATGCACACATGCAGCACAGGCCCACACAGTACCAATGTAATGAGCAAAGGAAAGATGCTTGTCTGTTTCAATAAATTATTCTAATCGCTCAATGCCAACATGCGGATCATTTGTCTCGAAGCACAGACGTGTAGTAACACTGCTCTCTCCATGCAGCAGTAAACGACAGTCAGTCGTTCAAAGTAACCGGGCTGGCCCTGTGACATCCAGGTCCCTGCGTCCAAACACCACAGGACCATAGTCTGGTTGACCCAGCTGTATATTTGTGTACTGCATCTTTGTTTTTAATGGTGAAATACCGAATTTCAAATAGTGGAATGAGTCTGTGTGCATTCTGTGATTCGCTTCGGAGCTCTCAAAAAGATAACTGATTGTTATTACTGGTGTTTTTTCAGGGTCAAAAAGGCTGAAGAGAGTTTCAAACAGGCCAAGGAGAAAGCTTCCTACAATGTGAAACCCAAACACGCAACTGGAATAGTACGTCTATACACTTCACATCACAGTTACTGTAATGTCTTATCTATGCCTTTTATTTGTTGATTTAGTTCAGCAGTACAGACACTCTTCTCTTTTCTGTGCAAATTGTCTCCTCCTTTTTCAAGGTGTTAAAAAAAAACACTCATAAGTACAAGGACTTCTGGCTGTAAATAACTCTGGCCTGTTTTTTATTCCACAGAAAGCAAAGTTGGGTCAGAAGATCTAACGCTGAGAATGGAAAATTATCATCACACAGCCTATTGCACAAGCAGTGTTTGTACAATATGACATGACTCATCAGTCATTTTTGCAACGTGTATTTGCTTCCGGTATTTGTTTTCAATTGATTTAGACCTGATGTTTACTGTCAGTTGGTTGAAAGTGGATATTATATTGTTTAGAAGTTGAATGAAAAATTACATTCTCTGACCCCCTTTCATAGCACCTGCATAATTAAATGAAATATTGCTTCCAAAAGACATTTATCAACTGAGATGATTAAATGTAGTTGAGTCATTTGCCAGAAAATGCTCAGAGGAGGCGGAAATTTGTAGCAACACAATATCCAAGCTTTCTCAGTGTTTTATAAGCCATATGTAGGAATTTGTGCAATTCCCCTGCCTTGTTCACTAGAAAGGCATGAAAACGTCCTTTTTATATCTTCCGTATTGGTAAAGATCAAAGAATTTTATAACATTTCTACATGGTGGGTATGGATCATCTGCCCGACAAAGTGCCTTTTCGCACATTGTAGGAGTCAAATCAGTGCTGTAGAACAGAGCTTTTTCTTTTTAGACATATCATCTGTTATTAAATGTTACATGTAGAGAAGATACATATGTTCTACATAGGCTGGAACATGACACATTTACTAAGTTAGTTTCAGAATCTAGGTATAATTACAAAAATGTTTTACATACAACTGCTTCATTTGTCTTTTCAACAAATAAGGTCATGAACAAGTAAGTGGTGTAATCGTATATAGATAAAGACTATTGTTTTTTTTCTCCAGTATCATCAACTTGCTTTGTTTTAAGCAAAAACCCTATGCAGTTAGTTTTGCCTTTCCTCCTACCTGTGAGTGTGTGAACTCCCATATGCAATTGGACCATGTGACGTGACGTGTGCGATACCAACAATGTGTTTCATTGAATACCCTTGACCACAGAAAAATTATATTTATTGCATAAAAGAAATTACATAATTTGTAATAAAAAATTCTGCTGTTGCTGATTGTTCTCAGTTTTTTCATTTTTTCAAATGTGAAGGTGTTACAGAACAACATGCACTCTAAACACCATTGTTTTATATGAAATAGATTTATTATACTTTTCACAGACATACATAAACACATACATAACATATATATATACTGTATATGGGCCATTCTACCGAATTGGACCAAAGTCAGGTTGGAAAAAAATTGTTCCCAAAACTTTGTCCATATATTTTCTGTACCATATCTAAATTACACATATCTACTAAAAGAACCGTACATTTTATATCGTATTTTCACACTGTATTGGAATGTTCTTCCTCTACCAAAAATGGTCACTACCAAAACATAGTGAATACACCGTAGTAAAAAAGCGTTATATTAACCTGTTAAGATTGTTTTACCTTCCCTTATCTAAATAGTATTTTAACAAATATTTCTTGAGGGTTTTCACAATTAAATTAATAAAAGTGCATTTTTAATCAAATTTCAAAGTTCAATTTATACAATTCATAAAAATCATAATACAATTTTTCTTTGTAAAATGCATAATACTGATCATATTGATTCCAGAGTTGATGATTGTTGAAATTGAACATACATTAAACCAATCAGTATCATATCATTTTAGTTGATAACTCAATATACTTACTTTTTTACAAAACATCCAGGGTTTGGTAGTGACCACAGTATTTTGTTCTCAAGGTTGTATCATATTCCCTCAACATTATTGCTTAATCTTAACTCATAATATGCATTATGTTGAAGTGTGAATGTTTGAAGCTACTGACCCAGAATCAGCACTTTAGTAACAGGCTGAAATAGAGGGGCATGAGGCTAGAATGCATGATCTGTTTGGTATTTTGAGCAAAACACTTCATAGACATGTTTTTTATATATTTGAGACCTATAATATATGCCTAACATAGTATAATAAGAGACCTTTAGAGTAACACACTGATTTTCAGACTTTAAAACACATTTATTTCAAAATGGTGGGATTTACCTGCTTACCATTCCATGTTGTCACTACCGAAACGATCATGTCAATTACGTAACCACATGTTTCGGTAGTGACGATTCTAGCTAAAATTGAGCATAACTAAAGAATGCTAGCAAGTACATGGCTAGCATACACGTTTTTGAAGAGGTTTACACACATACTATACTTAATTGTTTTGTTAGTTTTTCTTGTTGTGGGAACGCACTTTGTGCTAATTCGGTAGAATGCCCCAGTGACCAACCCATATGAACATATAGATCAATGTTTAAAGCGTGTTGTATTAAACATGAGAAATTAATAAAGTCTGTCAAAAACTAGTAGAAATGTAATCAATGAAGATGCAGGGAAACTGACTTCAGACCGGCGGCTGCACACACATTTGTGTCAAGGAGGGAAGTGTTTGTCCTTTCCCTGTAAGATCTGAGACCTGTGAGTGGGAAAGAATAGCCACACCTTCATAACCCGCATGAACCAGATCAAAGTCACACAATCACACAAACAAACACAATCTTCTCCATGTGTGACTCACTGAGTGGCTGAGCACTGTCAGTTCATTATTTCACAGCACACAAACATCCTAACGTTCACTTACAGGAAGGGAGATTATCCAGTAACTGTTAACATGAGTTTTAATATCTGTGTGTGTCTGTTATTCCATGTTTGAGACTTGAACATTTTACCCTATTTACATGATGAGTTTTATTTTTGAAGAAGGCAAGCATTATTTATCACATAAAGCATTTTATTTTTGAAATATTTAATTTACAATTTTACATTTAAAAAATGATCATTGTATGTCTATGTCAGTTATGAGAGAGGCTGCTGTATACGTTTTATTACTTTTTTGTGACATGCATTATTCATACTTTGACAGTTTTTGTAACATAGTTTAAGAACAATGAGCTTCTCTCTAAAACCTTTGAAAAGAGACCTGCATTTCCCACTGTTTCAGTGTTTGGAGATAGCAGCACGAGGTTGGTAAAGTAAAATGTCTCCTTTGGGACCAATGAAGAGATCTTAAATGTGTCAAAACATTCATCATCAGTGATGTGTGATCAAAGGAAGACACACCCTGGGAGCCAGTGGGACATCAGCATGACAATTATAGTGCACAGCTACTGTATGACATAATACTGGGTGATTTAACGTGTGTGTGTGTGTGTGTGTGTGTGTGTGTGTGTGTGTGTGTGTGTGTGTGTGTGTGTGTGTGTGTGTGTGTGTGTGTGTGTGTGTGTGTGTGTGTGTGTGTGTGTGTGTGTGTGTGTGTGTGTGTGTGTGTGTGTGTGTGTGTGTGTGTTTATCTTTAGTTGAGCCATTTTAACTTAAGAAGGGAACCAAAGGAAATATTGAAACATGTCAAACGTTTTGTAAACATCCAAATTAACAATATTATTAAAAGTTTTCATTTAATTGAATCTCTATGTGTAGGAAACTCTAAGTGGAATAATTACTTTGTACATCATTCTGAATAAACAACTTGGACTAGAGGAAAAGACAACCATTTGTTATGTTTTTGTCACAAAGTAAAGTTAATAAATAACGTGTTTTTTAATCGTCTACATTCGTGTTCTGCTATTACATGTTATTACAGTGCCCATCAGGATAAATCAGAGTTACAGGGACATCTTGTGGTGAAGAACGTGCGGTGCATACTGTTGCTTTGAGTGTACCTGTGAAAGAAAGAGGCAAATACTTCATGGCACAGCACACACTGGATTACCAATTAGGCGTTTGTATTTGCAATATTACATTGTTTGCTCTCTCTTAAAGTAGTATGGAGTTCTTAATTTTGCATAGGCCTATACGTTTTAAACAATTTTAATTTAACTGTTTGTGAATTTTAAATATTTTATTAATTTCACATGATACGATATATTTCACAATTTCTTTGATACGTGACATTAATATTATTATTATTAGTTTTATTTGAGTCATTATTATCATCATTATATTATTATCGTTGTTATCATTTTTAGTATTGTATGTGATTACATTTTGTATTTTTAATTAGCTAATAAAGTTTCTCATATACTGTATGCTNAGCAAAACACTTCATAGACATGTTTTTATTTATATATTTGAGACCTATAATATATGCCTAACAATAGTATAATAAGAGATCTTTAGAGTAGCACACTGATTTTCAGACTTTAAAACACATGGTGGGATTTACCTGCTTACCATTCCATTTAGTCACTACCGAAACGATCATGTCAATTACCGAAACATAACCATACGTTTCGGTAAATGACTGTTTCAGTAGTGAATGTTTCGGTAGTGATGATTCTAGCTCAAATTGAGCATAACTAAAGAATGCTAGCAAGTACATGACTAGCATACGCGTTTTTGAAGAGGTTTACACCTATGATTTACACACATAAAAACCTAATACTTTGCATAAAACCCCGAAAAAGTTTACTTAATTGAAGATAATATGTGTTTGGTAGTGACAATGCTAAAGGTTACACGCCGATTTTCAGATTTTGGAACAGATTGATATCAAAAGTATGGGATATAGCTACTTGCCATTCAGCCATGAGGGACAGGGATGCAGTGCCAATGCCTTGTCAAAAATGCAGGGGTGTGGCTAAAAACCAGGCTCAGTCATTGGACTAAAACCCTTGTGTTTCGGTAGTGACATGAAAACTGGGGACATGATTTTTTGAGTATAGTTTTTTTATTAAAAAATGATACCCACAATAAATCTAAATATTCCAATTGCTGTTTGAATGTAATCATAAATCTCTTCTAAATACACCATTGAACAAAATAAAATAAAAATGTTTTAAGTGTTATTTACAGAAATTGAAATGTAGATGTCAGGGTTGGGGACAGCTACTTCCCAATAGAAAGTACCCTATAAATGATGTTTTTGTATATATCAAACTTATCACTATAAAATTGAATTCCTTATGTTTAAATAGACCATAACATATTCTTAGTAAATATCTATGTCTGAATATGTAATTGTTTTGTTAAATAGTTTTTCTTGTCATGGGACCGCACTTTGTACTAATTCGGTAGAATGCCCCATATATTGCATTGCACCTCCATTACACATGCTGCTGTATGTTTTTCCTACTGACTAGTATATCTGTGGCAAATATACAGCCAGGCTTGTTTCGAAGCAGGTGGATGCCACTGGTCATTGTTGTGTTGCTTCATGTTTTCTGGATATCAACTGGTGTATGATTTTAGATATTGAATTTAAGGAAAAGATGCTGGACAACGGATACAATAGTTGTAAAACACCATCAACAGGTTAAAACATTGCAGGCAAAATGTGTACACTATAACTTGTTTCTCCAAGACGCTAAATTACCAGCAGAATCCATAGTGTGTTATAGTTTATCATCACCTTTATCACAAAGGAATCTAATGAAAAATGAACAAATAGCCAGGAAAATGGAAATCAAAGGAAGGAAATGTTGTTTTAATGTTGACATTTTGCTGCTTCATCATCAGTGTCTCTTGCACTACTTTAATCAGTCTCTTTCAACAGCATCAGCTTGCCAACATGACTGCTTGTCTCTGATGTAATCATCATTGATCCTTTGTTTAATAATACCAGTTCCATGTCATTTTATTGCGGGACAAGCCATCAGTTGTGCAACACCTTGCAGTATAGTTCAACTTGAAGCCAGTCCTTGTTTGGCGAAGCTTATGAATTTCCTGCCTTTGACTGAACTCCTATTATTTTAATCTTAATCCTTTACAGTTTCCCATGGCTGCTCACATCCACAGACATGCAGCGGCACTGTTTGACCCTCTGCACCTTGCGGTGTCTGAAAGGCGGCTGCTGGTCTGGGCAGTCTAGCTGCACTGTGAGCTGTGTGATGCGGTGTGGCCTGCAGAAGGAACAGGACTGAAACGGCTCCTGGACCTTGTTGTGTTTTTTCCTTCCAGAGCCTGAGGCCTGTCCTCGATTCTGGCCCTGACTCGAGCTGGGACCCATATGGCGGGGGATGTAGAAGGAGTTACACTGGCCGTAGCAGAAGCGGTTGACCACGGTGCGGCTGCGGCAGCCCTCCTCGCTGATGGTCTGGCGGAGAGGCTGGGTCTTGCACCAGTCTCTGCGGAGGTAGCGACGCTCCGTCACCACCAAGGCCTCCCGGCTGGAGGACAGCACCTCAGGTTTCTGCTGCAGTAGCCGCTGGTGACGCTCTGAGGACAAGTTCCCTTTGGTCTTGTGCGGGGACGGGATGGATCCCTGGGGCCGGTGCTTTTTGGTTTCTGCCGTGATGCAGAGCAACCCAGCCAGTATGACTGGTATAGATATTCTCCACAGCATTCTGCAAAAGGAGAAAGGCACATTAAATGGTGATTCTCAAGAAAAACATCTGTTGTCACATTAACAGATTCCTTGAATTTTGACAACGTAGGATGTGTACCAATACTTCGGAATTATGTGAAGATGCATACTGTCATACAATTCCAAAGATAATATCAATAAAGCAAATAATGTTTGCATTTTTGTGAATATTATGCATATGTTTTTAACCACCTTTGCTGTCAAGCCTTCCAGGCATCATTGAGGAAATGAATCCATCACCAGGGCCCCCATTTGTCAGCATCTCTGTGTCATTACTTGTATTTGCTTTCCTCTCAGCTACGTAACTCTTCCAAAAATAAACAAGGCCCTGCCATCAAAGGATACACTTAAACACCCATAACGAGAAGGGGAAGTTGATTTTATTGGTCCCGTTGCTGGGTAAAATAATTAGGGCTTTGCTTACTTTAGTCATGAACTATGCCGCAGATATGTAAACAGGCATTGGAGAGGCCCATCTGCATGTTATTAGGAGAAGAGTTGGGGAACTCTCCAGTACCTTTTGGGAGTCAACTCTTCTACTCATTGTAGATATACTATGAATCAAACAGAACTGAGATTAACCCACTGTCCATAATCAGATCTCTGTAAAAAGAAAGGCAGCATCATCTAGAGAAATGACTCCTCTGCCATTCACAATGGAGTTTCCGGCCCGTGTGCATGCTGTCGGTGTTTGCGCCAGCACATTTTTGACCGTCACTCAAGCATCTTTTCAGCAGATGTTGCTCTTGAAAAGCATTGCATGACATCAAGTCAGAAATCCTGACAGAGAACCAAACTGCCTCAAGGACATTGGCGGCTCATATTCACAGACTCTTCTTTACTGTGCACATTTGTATTTTCCCTTTCTTCCTTTTCCTGGACCTGCAACTCACTCTGACATGAAACAAATTACTTTTTCATAATCCACTTTGTTTTTTGCCTCCTTTTCTCTACTCTTGACCCTGAGGTCATGGCAGCTCTGTCCGGACTGCATAAGCACCCCGGTAAGTTAGACAGCAGCTGTGTGTCCATCAAGAAATGCAATGTAAATTATAACCAGATATTCTCTATAGGAAATGATATGTTGGACTTGAATTCAGAATACTTTTTTGACTTTTTGATGCTTTCTCTTTCAATTCTGATCTCTAGATTTTCTTTCTGTTGTTTTCTTCATTCAAATATTAAACCTACGCAGAAAGGAAGTATTTTGGATTATGTGGACATTGCCATAAAATCTGATGTGCTCTACAGTGACAATCAAGTCTGATGTTGATATGTGGATTTTCCCAGAAGACAAATACTTTTAATTCACACAAATACATTCAAATTACTCCTATGCTTCTTCTGTAGGCACACCTTTTTTCATACATACCACAGCCTGCACACACCCACCTAATAGGTTAGAATAACTAAACTAAAGACTCCCGCTATAGGCCTACTGCATCAGGGAGTCACGACCCCACTCCATCTCCCCATGATCTACCTTCCATGTACACAGTCTCATTTGTCTTGAGCCGATCCATCTCTTTCCTGCTGACTTTGTATTTAAATGCACAAACGCCTGTTTAGGAGGAGCAGACTATGTGAAGGCCCTTGTTCTCTGTTTCCCTTTTCTCCCGCTGTCCATCGTTTAGAGAGGCACCCTGTGACTCTGCTGAGCTACAGTCTGCAAAGCCCCGGGGACTTTTGAGGGATGACCTGACCAACTGTGTACATAGAGCATGACGGATGGCCTGTACAGCCAGCAGCAGCGCTCCCTCTCCACTCCCAAACTCTGCTTAAGTATGATAGTGCCGGCCCTGCTAAGCTATCCTCATCAATCTCTGCTGCAAGACAAATTGCGGTTTTGGGGTAAGGCTTTTGGGGGGAGTCCCTGAGGTGGTTAGTGGTTGGGGTTAGGAGATAGAAGGGAAAGAGGGTTTGGGACAGATTACCTACTGGGAAACAAAACCAACCCCACTTGGGCTCCATGCACAGTATGCCCTCCTCCCAGGCTGTTTATCTTTCGACAAGCAGTTTGTCTCTTAGTTTCTCTCTCTCCCCATCTGTCTCTCTGTCACTTTATCTGTCTCTCCTGATGCTCAGCACTAGTCATCACAGAGTCCCGGGGATGGAAGGAGACTGTGGTTTTGTGTTTTAATGCTGAGACAGAACTGAAACGGACCCTTCTGTCTGCTGAACACTAATATTGTCCACAAACACAGCTTTATGTTTTACGAGAACCACAAATACTTGGGGGAAGTGCTTCACTGAACTGTGGCAGACTTTTGTTCCAAATTTCAGACCTCTAATGAAATTACAAATACCAGATACAAATACCAGAGTGGCTGCTGAGCTAGACACAAGCCTTTTTATCTATAATCATCAGTGGGAACTTGTTGTATTTCGTTTTTCAGAATATAATATCATGGTAATGTTTTCTGTCTGGACAATAATGGGTCTTCAAAGAAAAAAAAAATGTCAAAGTGAAATGAAAAACAAATTGAATCGTGAAAAACTCCAGCCTTGTTGCTAAATATTTATTCATTTTAGATTTTTTTGTTGTTACTGTAGATAATTGAAAAAAGGAACACAAATCCATTTCAAGACTTTGAAACTTGTGCCTACGGATGTATTTCCACTAAACCATGTGAAACATCTTCCCAGCATGTCTTCAAAGGCAGGTTAAAACAAACAAAACCTGATGCCTCAATTATTGGTGCGTCAGAAAGTCTCATACACAGACTGGTAAGTGCAGTTAATTACAGTAGAACTGCATTTAATTCACCGTGCAACTCCAACCTCAATCACACAAGGGGAGGAGCACAAGCACACGCACGCACACATTTGTGACCACACATGTTCACACATACACACACACACACACACACACACACACACACACACACACACACACACACACACACACACACACACACACACACACACACACACACACACACACAGGATATACAGAGGGAAAGAGAGGTAAATGAAATGTTTTCACTTGGAGCCAATTACACAAAGAGGAACCATGTCATTATCTGCATTTGCGGATTCTATTTTCCCAAACTACGCTCGGCTTTTGGCTCATTAACAGTTGCGGGGGTGGCGGGGTCCTTTAGGGGGCTTTTCTGTGTAAATGTGTCTAATGCCAACATTGCCAAGAGGCTGCTTTAGGCAGTTTGGGCAGCCATTTGTCACCACAATCCATCTTGATAATGACTAGCAGCCCATATATAATGCTTTCCAAGTTAAGTACTGGCAAGAATGTAAGGCTTCTTTGCCTCAGCAACATTAAGTGCTTTAGTGGTGGATGAGAGGCAATTAGAGATGCTATGATAGTGCAGGGTTTCTCATTTCACATTTGTGTGACACTACTTAGCTGCAGTGATTAACACCACCCTACATTTTGACTCAAAGTGAAATGTGTCGGTTTGATCACATAACATGAAGTGTTTCCCTTTAAGGTTTATATGCCTTATTTCACACTATCTGACAGAATCAAAAAATACTTTTAGTTTGTATTTTTCTTTCCATTTAATAGGAATATCCTTCTTCAGTGGTTTGAACAATGTTTGATTGCACATCATGAGCTTTCAATGATTGTGGCTCAAGCAGGCCACTGCCTGTTACGGGGTTTAAAACTACTTCTTTAAAGCCATATTTTGCAATGTGAATGTTCTGCTGGTTAAAAGAAACAAAAGCTTTAATTTTAACCACACACAACCACACATTCGTGCCAAAATGCAGCTTAACTCTACTTTTAATCCGCTTTCCTCAGTGTTTTCTTATTACCTGTTCATGTGTTAAGCGTAAACTGCACGTGTTAAGAACGCTGTTAAGGCTCCTATCAAATAACAGTTTTACTATCTTTAGAGGCTTACAATGAAGTGTTTTCTATTGCTTATGAACCTGTAATGTGTCTGTGTGCTAAATCCTCTTTGACATCAGAGCGAACTGTGCAAGGTGGTGCAGTCACCGGAGCTGTAAGCAGGATCAGAAGGCAAACTCCCCACCTTTCAACACACGCACACTGCAGCAACACACACACTCACACGTTCACACACCAATGTTGATACACAGCAGTTCACACATGAATACACACACATGCATTAAATATACATACAGAAATGAACACAAACACAACGATATACAGGTGTATATTAGAACTGAAAAAAAGAATAAAGATTATTGTGTATACACACAGACAACAGGTCCCCTATATATGTTAACATCATTGTCTCTCTTTCTCTCTTTTTCATATTCAGTGGAAAAACTACACTGACTCTTAATCTCAGTAAAATGCACAGTACAACACACTGTCATCACACACTAATTCTCTCACTCACAACACTAATTCCCCTTGATAATTATAGTAATTTAGTCTACATCTTTATCCAGAACACCTTATAGTACCTTGAAGGCGTATATTGTTACTATGGGTGGCCCCTGTGGGGATCAATCCCTCACTGCTGGCGGAAAGGCAAAATATCTGTACAACTATTGCTGGTCAGATTACATGAATCTGCGCTTAGTCATTCAGAGACCCACTGAGTCACTCAGTCTCATTATCTCCGTCAGTCTCTTACTGCCCACTTGTTCAAAGCGCTCATGTGGGAAATGTCAAACCAGCACTCACTTATCTACACTTCTCACCTCAGTAACTCGAAAATGGTGCGTCGCACATATATAATCATTGTTTCCTCACATCCACTGCAAATTAGGTCAATCTTCAAGGAATTCATTATTCTAGAAATCCTGCTATTTACAATGATATGTTTGGCCTTAACGTGGGGCAACAAGTGTACCATCTTGCATTAAGAACTTTCTTTTATGATATGCTATTCATTTTTAATACCTGCATAGTATTCATTATTTCAATAGACATTTTAAACAACCTTCTTGCAAACTGTTAGAAGGGTTTTAAACCAAGTGTTAAAGTGTTACCACAATACAAAACGAGGCATGGTTTATGTACCTCTCACCACAGGGCGCAGGATGACGGTAACGTGTCAAGGATGCAGTCAGGGGATGTCGATGCCTTCAGTGGTCCTTGCGTCCGCTTCCAGATTTCGGTTTCCATGGCAACATAATCTGTAGTATCCTCAGGCTTGTCCTCGCTCCTCTTTTTTTTCTCCCACCACGCTAAAGTCTCAAAGTATTGGCCAGGATTAGCTTTCCATCACTCTGGACAAGATGAGTCTCTTTATTTCTCTCTCAGTCTATGGTTCTCTTTAAAGTTTTTTTTTTAAGTTTAAGAAAGCTCCAGGTCTCAGTTACAGTAAGCCCATATCTCCGTGCTGTGGAGACAGTCTGTCTTTGAGAGTGTTTGACTCACTGTAAAGCCTGCCTTAGTTTGAATCCCCACCACCCCCTTTCCTTCCTCAAGACTGGGAGGGTTTATCCTATTGGTCATTGTGTGAATCAAACCAAGCTTCACTTCTTTCATTTAAGTCTCCCTGCGTCTGTCTCTCTCTGCCTGTTGACATTTTTCTTTGATATATATTTTCAATTCCCATGCATCCATTATATATCAAACCTATAAAAATGACAACTTTTCCATTGTTTATTTTTCCATTTTATGATTGCTTTCCCTCTTCCCCTGTGTTTGACATTAACATTTTTAGGAGGTGGATGACATTTTGTCAGAATGGACAACACAGGACCAAGTTGTAAAGAAACAAAGACTTTCTTTAAAAACCCCATATTATCCTCTCTCATTGGCACAGTGGCCACATCACATTACAACTCTTAATCCAGAATCCATAAATCATTGTGTGCATGTACCCAGACACACTAACAGGGTGGTTTGAAAAATGCCACAATTCACATTCCTTGATGCAACTGAGACAATAATGTTTGTCTGTTTTGTGGCTCTGGCTGAGCTGACCACTGGGCACAGAGACTGAAAGCCCTGACTGTCACTTCTGCCATCAAAGAGCTGAAACATCAACAGATCCGAGAAAACCTCAGATGGGTACAGTCTGAACAATAACCCCTTCAGCACTTCAGAGGACGATGACACTTTTGCATGACAAAACGTAATTTGTCTGCAGAAAATTGTGATGCATTTGTGTGTATTGTGTTGAGGAGCTGGTAGCTGAAAAGAGGCAGATTCCCGCTGTGGGAAATAATTTAACACCCTCTAGTGGCAGAAAGCAAAAGTGCATTATTAAAGCACCAACCCTGCAGACTAGATGCTATGTCTTTATTGCTTAAGTGGTTCATATAGGTAACACAAATCCAAACACAGCCATTAATAACAGATAGAGGGCCAACTTTAATAATACAAGTAAGTAAAAGTGTCTTTAAATATGGTATAAAAATAAATGCAGGAGAGAATAACAAAGAATTATGTTCTACATAAAACAGGAGACAGCTTTTTTGTATTTTTGAATGTGACTTTACAAGTGCAATGAAAACCATATGTGCTAATTATTGTAGTGCAATAAAATAATGCAAAGCAAAATAAATGCACAATAAATAATAATAATAATACAAATCATAATATATATATATATGTGTGTGTATGAATATATATATATTGTATATTCATTCTGCACAACACTTCCCATAGCGTGACAAAGTATCTGTGACCTCAGATCATGTAAAGCAATGACATTGGTTAGATTGATCAGTTTAAGCTGTCATTTAATATATTTTTTCTATTTGTTTTTTTTCTTCTCTCTGACATCATTTGTTTCAGCTGGAAGTGAGAGAGGGGCTTCTGATCCAGCAGTTATGATGGAAAGCTCTGGAACACAGGATTTGATTTTCTTCAATAGCATGTTTCATCTCGCCAGTCTGTCAGTGTACTCACGAGTCCAGCAGTGCCTCCTTTCTGAGAATACTGGAAATATATCAGGTACTGTAAGAGGAGAGAAAAGAAGGTACATCCTCTCCATGGACATGCAACATCCGCTGGACAACAGACGAACAGGCGGTCCAGGCTGAGCCGAGAGCGGATGGACAGACAATGATGACAAAGAGATGAGATGGTCCCCCTCTCCATGTCCCAGAGAGAGAGATGGCATTGATTTTAGCATGATGGCACACGACTGGTCAGCCTCTTGGACGCTAGTGCTTTCCCCTAGCGAAGAGAATGAGGTCAGTAAATGTGAAGGAGAGAATAAATAAATACATTTTTAAAATAAGAATAAGATTATGAGCAGCTACAAAATTATGCTGGATTTCTGTAAAAGGGTAGAGTAATTCTCAACATCACTGATGACACAATAACCAAATGACAGTTTGTATTTGGCATTACCTGAAGCAAGAGCCTTCAGAACAAGTTCTTGCTTTTCTGTGGGGACAAAGAAGGAAATGTTGAAGCAATTTAACTGTGCAGAGGATTCAAGTGTGCATACATAAATGAAAAAATCTATTGCATAACAGTTTGCAAGCCAGATCAGTTCATTTGAAGTTCAGTCTAACTAAAAGAAAACAGAACAGAAAATACTTTTCATCAAGCTGTTACAAAAATGTACTGCATTCGCATATATTTATAAACCCAAGCTGTAATAGCAACATCTTCTCTGCCAGAATGACAGGCAGGGAAAGTGTAGGAAGCATTGAACAGGACAGGTTTTAAAAATACACCTGCCTAATTCAGAATTATTCATCATGTTATGACTGCTGTCCATAATTTTTTTTACGCCCAACAGGAGTCCTGATCAGCTACTCCATCACACACACCTGAAGCAGACTGTCAGGATGTTGTGTTCCATTTCTCTGCCACTCATTGGTATTACAAGCATGCAGGTGCCATTTTGTTCTTTGGTTTGACCTACTTTGTCCCTTAAAGTAACTCTACCACATTCACTGCTGTATTCAGGGATTTGAAATCCATTTTAGACAAAGTAAAATAATGTAGGAGACATATCCTTTAATCTGCATTAAGTGTTATTTTTCGTATTATCACAAATAGCTGAATATCATTTCAAAGACTTGCTTGGTGAGTCAAATCCACATCCATCCCTGCAGCTAAATACAAACCAGCTTTTGTTTTAGGAGTTAGTGGAGACAAAACCACAACTAAGAGGAACAGAAGCTCATGCTGTTCTAAAGCGGCTATGATTTCCTGCCCCTAAGTGGTCAAAATTGTATTTTTATCCTACCATAAGGTCACTGCAGGAGAGTGCTAAAGCAGCAGCTTGTTTTGAATATGAACGGATTGCTAGGAATGGGGTTAAAGTGTGATTTACCGGGTTTTGAAAAGGCTGTGGGTGCCAGGAGGGCAGGTTTCAGCATCACTGAAGAGTGGGTGGATGTGCACAAATCAACAAATCGTACAAACATGCACAGTAGTTTTCTGTATTTTCAGACTAAGCGTTTTTTTTTTTACCTTCTTCTTGGCCTGTAATAACTCCTGGTAGGCACTGGAGCGGATGAAACGGCTGTAAGAATCACTCTTCATCAACTTGTAGATGTGTTCCTGTTTAACAAACACAAAATGTGGAAAGAGTTGATACATTGTGGTGAATATATATTACAAAAATGCAGTATTCCAATGACCATCAAAACATAGTGAGAGTAATTTGCCAGGGTGTTGCTGTTGTTACAGTTGCAAAAAACATTTTCAGATTACCGGTAACATTCCAAACTAAATACGTTCTCTATATGTACAATGTAAAATAGGCCACTACATAATATAAGCTGTGGATGTGATGATTGCATTTGTATCATTTGTGTGATATGTGCAATATATACTTTATATACATAAGCCATCTTTAATAACTGTAATATATACCGGGCTGCTAAATCCTAAGAACTGCTACAGGATTTGATTTGTAGATTTGATTTGTTTTTGATCTGTATTTTTGAAAATGATGTAACTTTTTTTGTGTTTTTATCTGTTTTTAGCATATTGTTTATTATATTATAACTTAGTACTTTTTTATCATATTTTTGTGTTGTTTGTTTATTATATTATAACTTAGTACTTTTTTAACGCCTGTAAGATATGCAACACTAAGCTGTCTGTGGCTCTTTCCTGCTGTAACGCTGCAAATTTCCCCTCTGTGGGACTAATAAAGGTATTCTGATTCTGATTCTGATTTGTACCTGTGCATCCTCAAAGGCATAGCGTCCAGGATCTTTGACATTCTGAGTGGTTTTGTCGTAGCTTTTGGAGTCAACGTTGATGGCACTGGGCGCCCCGGGGGCCAGGAACTCCTGCCAGATCTCCTGCACCCGGGTGGGGACCTCTCTGATGGGACGTTTCTTCAGTTCCTGCACCGCTAGCCAGAACCTACGGACCAAAGTTAACGGTTAGTGAAACAGATAATGGCAAACTATGTTAACTATAGCCTCACATTTTTGAAGAAACTAATCTGTAATAATAATTAAATAATTCCTTTTAAGAGCATCCCTTTCAATTGAACACATATTAATACATTAAGGGATTTCTACTTCAAAGAGGAGAAAAAACTGAAACAGGTAGAGTTTCAGTTTGCCTTACAAAGGGATGAATAAGCAAAGATGGATTTCATAGTGTAAAGTGACAGAACCCTGGAGAATATTTTATTTTGAACTGTCAAAGCTGATAGAGTTTGAGTGGTAATAAATAGTCGCATTATTCTTGTTAATAACACACCCGTTCAATTATAGGAGTTAAAACGATACTCAACTGACAGTGATATTAAATTACAATTCAATCAACTTGACCACATTATCAGCTTTGTTCAGAAACAATACAGGCGTGTGCCATCAGAGGGAGCATGGGAGCTTTCCTGCACAGAGGTTGCTCTATTCATATTAAGCTCTTCCAATGCATCTTCGATACTCTGCAGTATTCCTGTTACCATGAATAAACCAATTAACATAATATTCCTGCCCACCTGTGTTATTCTAGCCTTGGCTACCGTTGTGCATATTTTAAACAAGCTCCATCCACCATCATCCTCCCTGCTTTGATGAAATAATTACAATGTAGGTTATCACTCAAAGAGCCCAGGAATAACTGCGATAGTTTCTCATTTCCCACAGTTATATGAGCATTTGCAAAGACATTCATTAAAGTGAGATATTATTGTTCATGTTTGTCATCATGAGAAAGCTACACAAAATGAATGTTTATTTTTCCAATCTAACCATATGAGCATGTTTACTGGAAAGGCATTAACTCTATATGTTTATATGAATAGTTCATATTGTGTATGTTTCCGTGAGTGTTTCATATGGAGTATGTGGGTGAGTTAAATCCTCAACAGCCTTTAATGTGTGCACTCATGTGTGTGCTTGCATTAATCACGTTGTGGCTGTTTACACAGTCACATTATGGAGACCTATGTGGTAACAAAAAGCCGGTCCCACAGAAGCTAACTATTCATTTTAGGCTTAAGACTTGGTTTGTGGTTAAGTCGTACAATCAGAAAAAGTTCAGGCAGATGAAAGAGATCATGCATGTAGCAATGACAGTTAAAGGTGCAGTACCTAATTCTGATCTATAAACATCTACTTTCTTACTAGGCAGGCAATGGTAGAATGTAACGAAGTACATTTACTCAAGTACATGTTAGCCATTTATTTATTGTACTTTATATTTGAAACTTGTCTCAGAGACAAAAGTGCTCGCTTCTGACAACATTATTGGACAGCTGTATTTGAGAGTTGCTTTGCAAACGTCATGAATATTAAACATTATCTTGTAAAAAATGATGAATTATAAATAAACTTTGATCAGAAAAATACAATCATTTGAATTACTGATTAGTAAACGTGTCTGTAAAACAGTCCAAAGTTTAAATTAAAATGAGCTTACACAATTTTGATTTAGTTCTACTTACCATGTTATTGTACTTCATATTGTGATGGGGAAAATATCGATTGAGGCTTTTGTGTTAACTCAAAAATGCAAGGAATGAATTCATGTAATTTGTGTGTGCATGCATGTTGCTGAGTACCTGAGGTTCTCTGAGCTGAACTCAGACTCCAGGAACTTGAGGAACTGTTCTCTCCCCACTGGATCTTTGAGAACCTCATCGATGCCAAAGGCCCACCTCTTTACCCTCTGCTGACCTGGCTCCTTACTGGAGGAGGACACACAAAAATGCAACATATCTTTCTCTGATCAAGTATGTGTGCAGCAAAACACTCTTGAATTGATCAATGAATCCATCTTGATAATTATGTTTTCTCTTTTCTCTGCACCTACCTGGCTTCAAGCTCCCAGAGTGTGGCGTCATCTGAGATCCAGGGGTTGGACGGATCTGGAGGCGTGAGGAAGGGGTCGTATTCGATGTACTGTTCTGTGTAAGCCAGTAAACTGTTTCAAATGAGAAACAAGGAAAGCAAATGAATAACAGCAATCTGCATCACTGGTGAAAATGTGACGTATATTGTATTCTAGTTATCTGGGGAAATCATGCACCATACCTTTCGGTGAGAGATTTTGAATGAGTCTTTTTGTAAGCTTTGGATAACTAAATGTGGTATTAAATCCTCCTCAAATGTAATTCAAGTTAGAGCCAGACAAGAAGTACTGACCCTGCCCTTGAACACCCAGATAGAAAACTCTCTGCTAAATGAACCTCTGTTTTCAGTGCAGGATATGACAAATGAATACTTTGTGTGCCGTTAAGAATCTGGTACCGTCAGTGTGGACGCGCATTAAAGGCGTCACATTTTGTTTTTGTTTCGCCCATTTGGGCATGTGCGGGTGGAGGGAGGGAGGGAGGGGGGAGTGTAGTGAGTGTACTGCGGTACTGTGATATTACAATATAAATGAAATGGCATTGATTACTGTACACTATAAACTATAATGACATAAAAAGACTTGTAAAAAAAAGAAAAAAAGGCGTCGTGTTGGCCCAATAACTCTCCAAGGTCACCGGAGCTCTTAATTCAACGCCAAGGCCGTTCAAAGGCTCAATAAACAGATCGATTGTTAACTGAATAAAGACACAAACAACATTGCTTACCTCTCCGCCACTTTGGACATTTTCAGTCGATGCCTGTCTAATTGCAATTGCCAAAAGGCGATCTGAAACCACAGCAGGGAATAATTAGCATTCATCAGTCCCAAAGAATTTACATGAAATTGTTGGTTGTGCAATTACAATCAAACACCAACTGCATGATATTTTCCATATTTTACTTGATGTGCTTTTAAAACTCTATACTAATTTTACTTAGCAATATTATTGAATAACAAATATACAGTTACAGATGAAGCATAATAACTACTGTCACAATTTGAGTACTAGCATTGATTTCAAGTTGTTCAGGATCCTATCTTTAACAGTAGAGTGCCACCTGCAGGTCTAACCTGTTCCTGCAGTTCTTCTTCTGTGGGCTGCTTGGCCTCTGGGGCGGGGGTGTGGGTCGGGCTGTGGGTACGGATATCATTCTGCAGCCCATACACAGACTGAGGAGAGGAAGTCAAACAGATCAGTGGTAGCAGCCTTATAGCTTTTGACTAGAACAGCAAGGAACAATAAGCTTGTCTGTTTCTGTTTGTGTTAAAATGTTTTCAACCCTGACCTTAAAAGCGGGGTGTATCAGCGGAAAGGCATACTCTACCTTTCTGGTTTTGTGGGGATTTTTCATTCTGGATGACTTCTTTATGTCGACTTCTGTTGTATTTACACACCCAGGCTGTGAGGAGAGTGAAGGAAAAAATATATAATTCATTTAATTCAGCTTAAATTGAATTATAATAGCTTTCCCTGTAGCATGAAGCCACAAACGGTGAAGGTGTAATTTGGCCACCATGATATGAGTTTCAGGTAATGAAATCCAATATGCTAACTGGGGCGTGAAGAGATTCTGAGAAGTCTCCAGGACAATGCGTCAGATGCCGGTTGATTAAACGTGGAATGTGCCAAATCTAGCAAAACAAGTAAACCAGCAGGAAATCTTAGTGTGGAAATTCTGGTTGATTGAACAAGTGGTCCAATCTAGGTCTCTTCCAGAAGAACAGAGCTAAATAGCTTGACAGAGTCACTGTGAAATTTGAATTAATATTGATTATGTTGCTCCAAGGACGCATAAATTGAACTAATTTCCCAATTAAGCATGGAGCAGCGGCTTTTGGAGAAATATAGCTGAAGAGACCCTTTAACCCCGGGGGAATATAAATGCTAAGGCTAAGCAAGTGTCTATAAACAGGGCAAAGAGCAGTTGAGAGGCTGATGTGTTGTGACAGATATTGATGTGGCATTTCATGTGTAAGGCAAACGAATACACCAAGGAGGATTTACAGTGTGTTCACCCCTTTACACAATTCTTGTATAGGTCATGTATAAATTACATGAAGTGCAAAACATTATTGTCTTTGTCACACAGCTTGATACCTCCCTACTGCCTATGGCTAATTATAGTTTAAAGAATAGAATAGGAGAACAATTACCAGTGCCCTTTTAGTAAAACTGGTACGAAAAGAGTATATTATAAGTTGTGTTCTCGGTACTGTGGAATTTCGATTTAACCTTATTTATAGAAGTACTGAATAAGCCCTATACTGCGTATGAAAAGTGTGATCATGTATACCTCCCGGAGATCATAAATGATATACCATATCTACAGTATGTCAAGCAAATCAGTTTCATCAATATATGTTAATAACAAGGACAGATTATTCACTTTTGCAGGAACATTAAGATTATGTTGATAACAACGGATAATATATCGGTGGCAGCAAAGGTGCCAACATCAGTAATTTCACTCACCACTGGTCTGTGCACGTCCCAGAATGCTCTTTCCTGACTGTCGAGAATTTTCCTCTCAATTTTGTCTCTTTTCTTATCAACTCTGTGGAGCAAAATGAAAGTCAGAACTGTTTTTACAGAGCATGTAGTTTATTCCAAAATATGTACAATACTCCATCACGTGTGTAATGTGCAGCTCATCTGTGAGGTTGTGTGCTGGTAGCAAAGGGAAATTGTATCAAACCATTGAGCTTTGTCATGTCAGAATGGGGTGTAAGAGGACTCACTCAATGCATGTGTTGTTTTTATAGAAACCTACTTCGCTTGTGCTTCTGCTTGCATAAAAATGAACTCCCATTTCCTGGCGAAAGCTCTCTGTAGCCTTGCTAAGCTCTCCTGCAAGTGAAACAAAGAACAATAAAGAGGCAAAAAAGGCTTTTGAGGGATCTGGGCTGATTATGTTTACTGCGCATGATGTGTGCAGTGCACGGCTGGATACCATCTTTAATGATCCCAGCTCACGTACAAAAGAAAAAACCCAGCGTATAACGACCCTGGTGATTCATTTAATAGCTTTAGTGAAAGGAAAGTTACAAATGAGGCAGTGGCACAGAGAGAAACAAATGTTCTCACTGTCAATATGAGCAAAAAGGCAAGAGATAAAGCTTGGAAGCAGTACAGTATGTAAAGAGGGGAGTGCTGACACTAATGACCTTTTCCACTCACCGCTTCATAGTCTGCAAGCTCCAGACGTGCTTTGTTTTGCATTGTTCTTTTGCAGAGGTAAACAGCTGGGAGACAGAGGCAGAGATTGGTTAAACAGGGATAACGGGCACCCAGCCTGTTTTTAACAGCCCCTAAGTTGCCCTGTGTTTACTCGTTTAATCCTCTCTTTTGCATATTTAAACTGGCCTGCAAATAACAAAGGTCACTTACTGTTCATGGTGTCTGAGCGCCGGTCAGAGTGTCTGTTCGTGTGTGTGTGACTTTTAACGTCTTCCTGTACTATCATCATCCCTTAATCCCTTTGTTTACTGACCGTTATGTGATTACATTGTTTTCATTATAGAGCATCATTAATGTGAATCAGTTGCTACATCGGAGACACAGGATTCATCCCAATATGAGCATTAACACTTTTTCTATCCTATAACTCAAACAACAAATGAAAAGACCTGCAAGACTGCGGCTATTCGTTTAAGCCATTTCTTGGCAATGTGTTTATATCTATTCTGCTGTAAACAATGAAAAGCTCATCCCTTTATCTCTATTAAATCCTTCATACAAATGTACACAACAGGTGCATGCATAAAGACATCATTCTCTCAGTTAAGAGAAAGACAAATTATGGAAAACAGAAATATTGCATCCGAACTGCAATGTTACTGAATGTAACTATCGGCCAAGACTAAAAAATGAAAGGCTATTTAATGTTTCTACCTCCCATCCTTACACTGCTGTTGCATTATTTGTGTACTCTTGTTACCACACATAATAACATATAAATCAGTCTGCATCATCATCTTCATCTCTTTAGTACATATTACACAATGCAGAGTGAGATTAGAAAAGAACAGCTCTCTCACCATAGTCTGTGTTTTCTGGTTCCCAGCAGTTTGATGGCCAAAAGTATGGAGTCTTAAAGGAAAAACAGGTCATTCAATAACAGAACGTGACAGCTTATCACATTCTGTTTTGAATCAAAGTATGCACTGCCACAGGGAATGGGAACATTGTTGCAGAACTGCATCTGCACAATACAATATTACATTTTTTTAATGGGCTAAGCACACTGTCTAAAGCACATAAGCTCCTTTCAAACAGCCATGAGAGCAGACACCAGCATGACTCTAGGTCCTCCCCGGTCAGCACTGTATGGACTTGACTGGCTTCAAATGAAAACAGAAAACATGTAAAGGGCAAAGTAAAGCCTGTTCCTCACACAAACAGTCTAAAGCATCGATTTACTTGTGTTTGTTCTGTGCTGCAGACTTGATGGAGCTTGCTAGGTGCAAAATCACAAAAATTGTCAATCCCACTATTGACATTCAGAGTGTTGTGGATTTATTTAATTTTTTCATTCATAATTCCAGTAAGAATTATAGGAAACAGCAACTTCTAATCCCTGTTTTGACTTCAGCATGTCACTGTTGGCGCTTTAACTGATTTATTATGACTGCAGGCAGTTATTGGAGTTGGACATTTTCATGTTTAAAGTGATTTTTGTACTTCATTTTCAACAGCGAGGTAGGAACTTAGGAAATAAGTCATGAAACGAATCATTTATCACTCCTGTAAATCTCTATAAACCTGTCAGCATATTTCTTCGCTGGACTTCTTTGGTATTAAAACTTTAAACTTTACATAAGCAACACATTTTCTAAAGTTCATATAATGACATGACCCTTTTAGAAAGATTATCCCATGTGAAGGATTTATTTCTCCTTACGTCTTTTTATAGACATTACAATAACAGACTAACATAACAGAAATCCTTCAACACAACAGCATAAGTAATAACCATTATTATTCTTACCTGAAACCTATAGAAAGTGCCATCATCTTTGAGAGTGAGGACGTGGTCTGAGATGGGGAAGAAGTAACCATGTGCAGCCATCAGAGTTCCTAGGTGAAGAGCCTCCACTGGGAGGACAAAAAACACATAAAATCCATTTACAATTCAATAAACTCATGTTCCTTCTGTCTTCAAAGTTATATTAAACACCATGACAAACAAATTAACCTTCATGCATAAAAATAATCAGAAATGACCCAGCATTCTTTGAGAGTGTGTTGAATGGCAAAGCTGCGGGAAGGTTAATTTGTCTTTGATAGGTTTGATTCAACAACAATGTCAGCTGTCATTTAGATATTATATATGGCTATTATTTGCTTGGAAGTAAACTTTCTGAAGCTTGACTTTGTGCTAAACTAAGCTAACCGGATGCTGGATGCAGCTGTATTTAAAGGACTGATAAGAGGGCGCTATATATCTCATCATCTATATATCTCATCACACTCCACCATCGTTCCTGTCCCCAAAAAGACAAAAATCACCAGCCTCAACGACTACCGCCCAGTAGCACTCACCTCCATCATTATGAAGTGCTTTGAGCGGTTAGTCAAAAACCTTCATCACCTCCTCCCTCCCTGACTCTCTGGACCCCCTGCAGTTTGCCTACAGAGCAAACAGGTCCACAGACTACGCCATAGCCCTCACCATCCACACTGCCCTCTCACACCTGGNTGTTTTTTTAATTGCATTACAGAAAATAAAGAACTTTATCACAATATTCTAATTTTCTGAGACAGTCCTGTATGTGCAGCTCAAAAATGTGGTTATCATCAATTTTTCTTGGCATTAANGAGCCCGAGGTCTCTGAGCTTGATGGTTAGCTTGGAGGGCACAATGGTATTGAAGGCTGAACTGTAATCAATGAACAGCATTCTCACATAAGTGTTCCTGTTCCTCTGGTCCAGGTGTGAGAGGGCAGTCAGGAACACTTATGTGAGAATGCTGTTCATTGATTACAGTTCAGCCTTCAATACCATTGTGCCCTCCAAGCTAACCATCAAGCTCAGAGACCTCGGGCTCAACAGCGCCCTCTGTGACTGGATCCTGAACTGAAGGATGAACTGAAACATCACATCATCCACCCTGATCCTCAACTCCGGAGCCCCTTCCCGTCCTAATCTCTGACGGTTACGAGACATCTGGATTACCAGGAAGCAATGGAGAGAGAGACACACCTCCATCACCATCAGCAAGGCTAGGGTGGAGAGAGCAGCTGTATTAGATTAATAGTAAACAGCAGTGTATAGACTGCAGTCGTCTTCAATAGAATTCCAGTTCATTAAAGCAACGTGTTGATATAATAATAATCTCCTTGTTTTGAGTATCAATACTCTGTTGTCTTTCTGTTCATCCAATACTTACTGTTTTTTCATAAACCTTCCAGGGGCTGTCCATCTACAAAAACGTTTCTGCTGTTATCAATGAGTCTGTGTTCCACCCCAGTCAGCTGACTGAACACAAGATGCTCTACTTCTGGATCTCAGGTCAGCAGTGAGCAGTACTCTGCCTCTTGAAATGTGGAAGTGCAGGTGCAATAAAATAAAAAGTTATCTTAGAGGGAGAATCCAATAATTTAATGATCCCTCTGCTCTTCAGGATTTTAGTTGATGTAATACACAATACAAATCTGATACATGTTGATTGTGAACTTCTAGACTTCAAATGCATCAAAATAATCTCTTTCTAACTTTTGGTGCCAGTGTATCAAAATGTGTTTCCTGTGTGAGCACCCCACAATTTTATGTTAGAAATATATAATACCAGTCTCCAGCACATAGAAACTGCCAGATGCTAATTTGCACATGTTGGGCCATTAGCATAAATTGGGTTGAATATGGCATTAAAGGCTATGTAAACAATAGTAAAAAAAATTGCTTGTGCGATTCAGACAGTTTTGGAGTGTTTTTGGTTCATTGAGGATGCTGGATTAATTCGGACATTTTCAGGATCAAAAATTGCAGTTTTAACCAGAAAGAAATACCCTATCTGTACTCTCTGAGGGATGTTTACCACCATGAGTTGTACTGCAACCAATCGATATAAAGGGCACAAGATGAAAAGATTACCTCTACTGAGGACAATTAGTTTCAAATAAATAAGCAATCTTTCCAATCCTAATAATCCAGAGTCCCCTAAATCTTCCAAATCGAGTACAAATATTGGCATTTCTTGTTAAAACCGACTGCCATTTTGGATACTGAAAATGTTAGAAATGGACTCAGCATCCTCAATAACCCCCAAAACATCTCCAAAATTGTACAAATCGGTGAAGCCATTTTTGAACTCAATGCTATTTAACGCAATTTGTGTGAATTGTGCAAAGTGCCCAACATATGCAAGTTAGCATCCGGCAGTTTCTATGTGCTGGGGACCCTACTATACATAAACATTTCTAATGTAAAACTTTGTGGTACTCATCATTTACGGGTTCACAAAAGTACTTTATGAGCTGGCAACTAGGCTAATCTCAGAGAAGCCGAATATAAATTCAGTAAAATAAATCTAACATTATGAATCGTGAGTATTTTAGCCAATGAGCAGCAGCGTTAGCAGCAGGGTGCGTCGTGTAACGGTTGTAAGGGTGAAATGGATAACTTGTGTTTAACCCCAGACCAGATTCTGAACCCCATGTTTACTGCTGCACACCATGATGCCCGATTCCAGCTCAACATTTCTGGAGCAGAGCTCAGTGTGAGTACATCAGAGCTGTGAACATACACATGGAAGGATCTGGTATCTGTTAATAAAAGTTAGCTTGGACAGTACCTACTGCATAGAGATTAAATGAACCTCACCCATTGGTTCTGCATATGTTAAAACCAGAGTTGGAAAAAGTACTGAGATCCTTTACTTAAGTAAAAGTACTAATAACACACTTCAAAAATACTCCTTTACAAGTAATTGCCGTGATGTTGTATCAGCTAAATGTACTCAAGAATCAAAAGTGAACGTACTGATTGTGCAGGATGGCTCTTCTGGGAGTTTTGTATTATAATAGAATATTATGTTATTCAGTTTTTATTATTAGAAAATACATACTAGAGTTTTGTAATGCTGTAAGTTTTCATTGTGGAGCGAGTGTTATACATTGTGTACTACTGAGTAGATTAGTAGTATATACAAATATCATATAAACACAAGTTGTTATTTATGTTAAAAGTACCTATACTCACTAAATAAATCAACTAAATAAATGTAGTGCAGTACAAAGCACGATATTTACCTTTGAGATGAAGTAGAAGTAGCATAAAATAGTAAAGTACAAGTTCCCCAAAACTATACTTAAGTACTTGAGTGAATGTGTTATATTCCACCACTGGGTACAACTACTGTCTTTAATCTCTCCTCACCAGAACCATGTGATTGCAGATGTTGAAACTTGAGTTTGTGATATTTCATATCTTGTTAAGTCTTACATTACATTAAATGCAATTTCAGGAGCTTTTCAAGACCAATCTCTCCAGTACCATGCCTGAATATTTCAGAAAGGTAATTTATAAAACCTCTTTATTCCTGCACAATCCAAATACACACATACACACCTTTGTCAGGTGATATTATGTTGTGTTTTTGTTCAGTGTCTGCTGGAATCAGGCTCTCCACAGCTCAGAGTGTGGAGTTCATCTGTTCCCTACCTCCACACCTCAACCTTGGGTACGAAAGTCCGGGGGACGGCCTCCGCTCAGCTGCACTGTGGGGAGGCGGGGGCTCCAACTCTCTTCTTCCAAGCGGTATTATGCCACTTATTATGTGACGTTACATGTTCATGTGGTTAAAAAAACCTTTGTGACGCATCCTACATACCAAAAGACATTCTCCCTCTAACCCACGGTGGAGTTTCCTCTGTTCTGCAGTGATCTTCAGCCTGAGGAAAAGGTAGCCGAAGAGGAGCTTCTGCAATTGTTGGGGAATATGTGGAAGATTGTAAAGCAGCTCAATAGTCTCAGTTAGTTTTTTGCATCAAAATAGTTAACAAAAAAGGATTACAAACATTCAAACAGAATGAAGCATAAATAAAGGCTCAAACTAATACAAAAACAGCTTATATTGTTGGCTAAAATTAATGGATAAATAGTTGAAAAGTTGAGCGTCTACAAAACTAAACAGGAGTGCAGTAGTAGTAGGAGACCAAGAGTCTAGTCATTTTGTCTAACAGTCAGAGGTGCACGTGACTGAAAGGCTTAGTAGGCTCAGTCTGTTGCCTCCAGGAGCAGACATAACTTAGTTATGGGTCTTTCAATGGTACTAGTCTTGGTTTTAACCAGGACACTCCTAACAAGTCCTTTTGAACCAGGAAGGGTCTTAACTACACGTCCCAGGAGCCAAGTGTTCCTCAGTGCGTTCTCATCAACGATGACGACCAGGTCTCCGGGGGTGAAGTTTCTTTTGATAGTATTCCATTTGTGCCGTTCTTGCATCAAAGGAAGGTATTCCCTGGTCCAGCGCTTCCAAAACAGGTCAGCAAGGTATTGCACCTGTTTCCATCTTCTCCGTGAGTACAGATCCTCTCTCTGAAAGAGTCCTGGGGGCAAGATTGGATTTGTTCTTAACTGAAGTAGGTGATTAGGTGTGAGGGGTTCAAGGTCGTTTGGGTCATTTGTCACTGTTGTGATTGGCCTATCGTTCATTATTGCCTCAACCTCACACAAGGCTGTGTGCAGAGCATCATCATCCAATGTTTGTTCCTTCAAGACAGAGTGGAGGATCTTTTTAACCAGTCGTATTAGCCTCTCCCACACTCCGCCATGGTGAGCTCCAGAGGGGGGATTGAACGTCCAATCAATTCCTTCTTTGAGTAGTGTTGATTTTGTTGTTATCCAGATGTTTTACAGACTCCTCCAGTTCCTTTTGTGTGCCGATGAAGTTGGTGCCTCGATCTGTTCTGATGCTCTTTATTGTGCCTCGACGACAGATGAATCGACGAAGAGCGTTTATGCATGCAGCTGTATCCAAATGACTGGCAACTTCCAGGTGAACAGCACGGCTTACCAGGCAGGTAAAGATTACTCCCCATCTTTTGACATGAGCTCGGCCACGTTTCACCTCGATGGGTCCAAAATAGTCTATGCCCACATGAGTGAAAGGTGGAATATCAGTTGTTATTCGATCAAGTGGGAGATCAGCCATTTTCTGCTCTCCAGTTCAGGGGCCTCATTTATAAACGGTGCGTACGCTCAAAAGATGTCGTACGGCAGTTTCTAAGCAATGTTTGCGATTTATAAAAAACAAACTTGACGGGAAAATGTGCGGTCCTCCACGCAAACTCTGACCCATACACACAAAAATGTATTGAAGCCAATCTTAAAATGATTAAACAAACGCCTGTTTGAGACTCCTCAGTGCACACAAAAACATAAGTTGTTGAAATAAATAATATGGGGATATGTTNTGTTAGTAACACCATAGCTAGTAAAACTCAGAGCCGTCTTTCGATTCACATTCATAGTTTGAT